ATAAAGTTACCTTAAAAAAATAATAAGTATGAGACATAAAATGGATTAAGATCATTATATTTAGGATCAAAATTAAAGTCAAACGAGTTCTTATATTAAGAATCGGAGATAGTATCATATAACTTGATGACTTCATAGTATAGGTAAGTTTTTTTAAAAAATTTAAATAATTAATAACCAAAACTTAATCTTGTACCGGTCTATATATATCATATAACTTTTTAAGCAACTTTTCTAAGGACATTGTGTTAGAAGCAAAGTCGTGCTAATTATGCCAAATAAAACTTGGCTTGGCATGCGTTGACAAGCTATACATATGATAGTGTCTATTTTTTGACCTTAATGGAGGCTGAAAATACGTGTTTATGTGTATATTATATTCATAGAATGCTGAAAAAAATGATGCTCCTCTAGTTGGGTGGACCGTGTGTTCATTAATGAAGACGAATAATTGGCAATTAAAAAGAAAAAGAAGACTGTCCCCCCAAAAAATCAAAAGAAGAGTTAGTGCTATATGTACATATATATTGCATTGCACGAGAAAAAATATAAAAAAAATATATTAATGATGCAATATAATGAAAAGGTTATGACCAATGATTCAAATCCTCATAATATAATCAAATAAAGAAAAGACGCTAAGCCCAAAAATTTTGACGCTGCCCTCAAACTGCATTTGTTTTTTAAATATTATCCCCATTCATCTGCATTGTGAAATAATCATTACTTGAGCTTTTCCGGGTAAATTCTGACTCTTTTTTTTTACCATTTTTTATTCCGAGAAAATTGCCTCATTTACTCTTTCTTATAATAGAGTTTACTGGAAAGGATGAACTTTAAACTTTGAGAATTCCGTCTAAAATTAAAGTGCGAGGATAAAGCTCAAGATGAACAAAGGACTAATAATGTTGGATAACATATTGGCCATGCAACCGATAGAGATGATTAATTGATTATAATGTTGAATTGGCATTAATTAATGTGGAGTCTAACATAATTGACTAGGACGTACGAAAGGAGACAGCTAAGCCATTGACAATAATGTCCAGCGAATTATTTTTAATCAAGGCCCATTCATCATCCATAGTTTGCGGCTTTTGAAGACTTCAGCATTCCTTGTCCTTTAATTATTAAGAGCAAGTCAAAATCTGTGTACTTCACTTTTAATTTCTTCCCTTTTCCTTTAAAAAAATGCATTAATTCTCTTTTACAAACTGTAACTCTACAACCTAATGGGATGAATTGATCTTTAACAGATGAAAATGTCGATTTTGATTTGTTCATGAGCCATTATCAATGTTCGGATTTTAGGACAAAGAACTTAATTTGAACCGCACCATTCACTTGGGGATTTTTTTTTCCTATGCTTAATATAAATTCACGCACACCCAGAAAAAAATTGTTATTAAAGTTTCCGGCTAGTTAAATTGTTCACTCATATATTATACTGCCTCTGCTTCTTAATATAAAATCTCGTTTGAATTTTATTTTGCTCTTAAATATAAGACTCTAATCTACTCTGTATTTAATATTTATGCATTTTTTTCAAAATAGTCCTTCTAACAATGATAGTTCTAGCTAATATACTTGATTAGTAAGGATATTTTAGAAAAAACAACACCTATTTATTATAAATAACTAATTTAACTTATTTCATTAATATATTTAAATTAATCAACTAACTCTTATAATTAGAACTGAAAGTAGTATTATATGAAAAAACTTATTCTAGCGATGTGGGGGGTGCGTGCGAACACGTACGCAGAGATGTTCAGAGATACTATTCATACATAAATAAATAACGTTAAGCATTGAGAATTTTAAATAATTAGTTATGAAATTTTACTTATGTATGCTTGATAATTTCAATAATTATATATGTTTGATTGCACAATGCTGATGGCAATCAAAATTTCAGTTACATATAACTCATAAGAATACAAAAGAAACGAACAAGAGTGATGAGTACAAGTCTATGCAGAAAACGGATGCGTATATATTCATTTAATGAAGTGGGAATCGTATCACTCTCAAGTTATATAGATGATTATTATAGGTTTAGTATACTTTAAGGTTACGTTTGAAGTAGAAACATTAATTGATAAATACTACCTCCGGTCCTTAATATAAGACCCCATTTGACTTTTTATTTAGTTTTAATTATAAGACCCCAATCCATTTTGTCTCTCATATTTATGTATTTTTTTTTCAAAATAGTCCCTCTAATAATGATAGTTCTAGCCAATACACTTAATTAGCAAGGATATTTTAGAAATGACAACACTTCTTTATTACAAATAACTAATTTAACTTACTTTTTAATCTCCTCAAATAAATTAATGGGTCTTATAATTAAGACCGGAAGTAGTATGTCATACGTATCAAAAGCACGTGATTTTACAAAGCGGCTGGCAACTATGGCAAATGGTGAAGCCTAGTTTGTCGTATTCTTTGGTCTTCGGCCCCCCCAATGCAACAGCCATAGTAAAAGTTAGACCAATCAATAGGACTATGCATCGATGCGCCTAATCACGTACAATTCATTCATTCATCCACTTGGCTCCCTTAATTATTGTCATTATTATCATTATTATCCCAAAAGAAAAACTTGACTTTCTTCAAACAGTGCAAGCGCAAATTCATTGCATTTACTCTGCTTATTTGCTTTTGAATATATATATTATTACAATATGTGCGTGTATATATATTATTTATCCATTTATTTTTTTACTTTTTTCTAGTCTTCCTATTAGATAATAAGAATAATAGTGTTTGGGGTACTGTCAAGTACTAAATATAATTATTTATTTAATATGAATTGAAAACCCTAATTCATCATTTTATGAGAAAATAACTTCTTCTACTAATTAAACCCAACTCTTGTTGGTCGGTTTATTTGTTTTAGCTAGCATTAGTATTGCCATAACAGTGTAAAGATTGTAAAACCGAGGGCAAACTTTTCATCACAAATTTTCATAGCAGATGTTTTTATACTGTGCATTTAATTGCTTGGCATGATTGTTTTTAATGGAGTAAAATGCAAATGAGATAGAATTTACATCATATTGGCGTAATGAGGAAGTGAACCTAAACGAAGGTCGTTTTTCATTCTGAGCTTCAACAGAATTAATGTGGTCTCTAGTGTTTGGGACACTTAATGAAACAATGGCTGTTAAAAACTGTGATGCATTTCTAATTAATGCCTGTATGTTTGATTGAAGGGACAAAACATCGTCGTAAACTCAGTTCCAAGTAAATATAATCCCTTTTCATTAATGAATTATACGATCGAGATGAAATGACTTGAAAAATTGCACTACCTGAATTAAATATTGAACGGCTAATAAATGGGAAGAACCAGAGATGTTTAATTTAGGCCTGATTTTTATTTTGATGTAAAAGTTTATACCCAAATATTTAGCCAAGAAAACTAGAAAAGGTGCTTATATCACTGACTTGTCACGGATCAATCATATTAAATCTTAGACTTTGATAAATGGAGTACCTTTTTATTTAACAGCTCTAAGTTGTACTCATTAATATATAAGATTATGCATATGTATGTATCATTGGCTTTATTTAATGTGGAACAATATGGCTGCGATAGTATATATAGCTTCATTATTTAAACAATAATTTATCGACATGCCATGCATAAATTGGACTTAAAAACATTATTTGTTCGAATAAATTAATTTAAAAAATTCATAGATCTGATTTTGTATGACTTGGGGTTTGATTTCGAACTTGATGAAATCTTACAATTAATTAACAAGAATCCCAATCTAATGACCCGCTCGATCTATGATAGAATTCTAACAGGTTATGTGCAATATCATTTTACAAATAGAAAATGAGCAATTTGTGATAAAATAATGAATTAAACTGTCTTTCTATTTTAGGGAAAATAGCAAAAGCGACCGCTAAAATTAAAAAATTACACATAAGGACCTATTTATAAAATTAGTGTCAAAATCCATAGTATTGTTATCAAAACATATGCTAATAATATTATAATGAGTCTCTATTTATATCTTTTTTTTTTATTTCGGCAGTTTTTTTACCGATTTTTTCTATATTTTATAGGAAAAATTATAAATAAAGACTCTCTAATATGTAAAATCACGATTTGGGACTTTGAATTTAGAAAATAGCAAATAAGAATCTGGTCCCACTTTTACAAATATGAAATCGTGATAAAATGTCTGAAATACCTCTCAGCCAAATGACAAGTTTACTTTAACAAATAATAATTTCAGTAGGCCAAATCACAACTTCGCTGAGAGTATACCAAATGATAAATTAACTATGGAAATGACAAGTTCACTTTAGGAATGACAACTTTAGTAAACTAAATCATAATTTGACCGAGAGACATTTCAGACATTTCAGTTACATTTCATATTTAGAAAAGTGAGACCGGATCCTTAATTGTTATTTTTCAAATTAAAAGTCTCAAATCATAATTCTACATATTAAGAAGTCTTTATTTATAATTTTTCCTATTTTATAAGGACCTGAACAATAGACTAAAATGAAAAACGAGTCACGCGGACATAAAACCCGAGGGGCGGGGGGTTTTGGAATATTCAAAATAGCCGCGTGGCAACGCATATGTCTGCTAAATTGTACTCTTCTCTCGTGTTTAACAGTATGATTAGACATGCTGGGATCTCTCACTGCCCGGCCTCACTCAATTAACCAATTATTTAAATCCACAAGTTTTCTAAAGCAAGGAAAATAAACAAGAGAGAGAGAGCCCTTTCCCCACGTATAACCTCTCTACTGAAACTTCTCTCTATTTTGCCTCCACGAAAAAAACGACGTCGTTGAGTTTTAAACTAAACATATGAGGAAAATGGATTTTAGACGGACGGCGTCGTTTTCTCAGTGGAGGTAAAATGGAGAGAAGCTCTGCAGTGGAGACATTCCGAACCTTTCTTTGGTGTTTCCAGGAAGCTGCTAATGGGTTGAACAAGAAAATAGTATATTCTGAGGCTTGACTAGTCAAGCTCCTCCTGGCGTGCGGATTTTCCGAGCATAAATAGCCAGCGCTGGCCTTAGGAAACGAAGTTGAACTTGAACTGGTTTTTCGATCCATTCAAGCTGAAATATAAAAGCTATACAAAGCCTGCATATGCTAGCTAGCTAGCTAGCTTCAGTGAGACTAATACTAGAGGCTTCTAGCTTATATATATATTAGCTTCCCAGAAAGCCAAGTTAAGGCAGAAGGGATCAACGATGGTGCGAGCTCCTTGCTGTGAGAAGATGGGACTGAAGAAGGGTCCTTGGACTCCCGAGGAAGACCAACTCTTGGTCTCCTACATTCAAAAATATGGCCATGGCAATTGGCGAGCCCTCCCGAAGCAAGCAGGTACTTGACTACAATCTTATCTTTTAGATTTTGTACTGACAATATAGAATGACAGAAACAGGAGATGAAATATTCTTGATCTCTGTCTTCTACAAATATGCTCTGTTCTTTTTTACTATTGATTTTGCAAGTTTCTTATTGTGTGTGGGTGGTGATGATTGTTCTGATGATGAATTCTTTACAGGTCTTCTAAGATGTGGGAAGAGTTGCAGACTCCGCTGGATCAATTATTTAAGGCCAGATATAAAGAGAGGAAACTTCACAGCAGACGAAGAAGAAACCATCATTAAGCTGCATGAGATGCTTGGCAACAGGTATTATTCCTTACTGATACCTTCTGATATTGACAATCATCTTACACCTTCAATTCTCAGAGATAAAAAAGACTATGCTACTTAGTGATGCTTCACCATTTAGTTGACAGAAATTGTCACTGGAGATTCAGTTTCAGAAGATTGATTTGGATTTTCTCTCCTTTTTACGAAAATAAAATTCCCTTTTTCTTAGAAAAAGAAAGAATATAGTGGTGTGGTGGGGAGTAGTGGCATCCATTAATTAGTTGTCAACTTCCAGAAAAAAGTAATTAAAAAGAAAGGGACTGCTCCCATTACGTTTTTCTATAATGGCGACTAGTCCCATTTTTAATTGCGAGGAAAACTAGGCGTGCTCCTCGCTGCAACTAGATATTGCGATGCCAACAGGGCTGAAAGATTCTCTGATTCATTCATTCATGGATCTGATTTGTACAACACTGAACGAGGCATTGTGTATGAACATGTCACATGCAGTCTAAACAAAATTCCTGAAAACACGACAACCCCAAGTTTGTTGTTTCCTAATATGTTTTAAAAACTCTTGTCCTTGTTATCTAGGTGGTCAGCAATTGCAGCAAAGCTACCAGGAAGAACAGACAACGAGATTAAAAATGTTTGGCACACCCACTTGAAGAAGAGGCTTCAAAAAACAAATCAAGTGCAATCCATCGTTAATTCGGATTCCAAAACCAGAGGCTCCAAACTTTCAATCAAACGATCTGTTTCCAATTCCAGCTCAGTGACAACTCAATCAGAAGCTGTCAGTTTCATCGGTTTCCCAGAAAAGGACACAACATCGTCAGTTTCAGCGTGTACTGCTTCTTCTAGTGATTGTGGCCGGAGCATGAATGTGGCCATGAAGTGCGAAGACGTAGACTCATCTCTCGAGCATTATGTATTGCCTCAGATTGATGAAAGCTTCTGGTCAGAAGCAGCAATGGATGAGAATAGCCCCACCATTGACAATAAATTACCAGTTCATCAATACCCATTTGATTCTGCAGAATCTTTCCAACAAGGTTATGGGTATAATGGTTTAAACTTTGACGATGGAATGGATTTCTGGTATGACATATTCATCAGAACAGGGGATTTTACAGAGTTGACGTTCTGAAAGATCTCAACTTTTCATAAACTCCTCGAGATGGGGCTATTTTTGTCTATCCAAGAAAGCAATATCCGCAAGGTGAAACAAGGGAGATTTAAAAGTGAGACCCAGAATAGTAGGACTCTAATTAACATTTTTCTTTGTTACAAATGAATCTTCTTCTTTTTTCTCCTTTTTTTAATTAGTTGCAATCTGTGATGACAAGTAAAAGACGTACGATATGAAATTCATGTCTGTTACTGTTTATTTTCTCTTAGATTTTTGATAGTAGATGAGAGTTTATTGCGCCTCGATGGAATAGATCCTTGAATCAAGTTTGAAAAATCGACCATGAAACCTCTGAATCCTTCAGAAGCTATGACACAGATCAACCCATGTTAACTCGAAAAAGTAAACACAGATCAACCCATGTTAACGAAGCTATGACAACAACAACAACAATAATAATAATTAAAAAAAAAAAGTTTGCACGAGGATACATTTAGACATGAACGACAAATTACTTGTGTTTATTAATAGAGAAAGTAGCACAAAATATATAGTACCTCTTATCTTTAATATAAGATCTCATTTGACTTTTATTTTGATCTTAAATATAAGACCTGAATCTACTTTGCCTTTTATATTTATCTATTTTTTCTCAAGACAGTTCTTCTAATAATAGTAATTCTAATCAACATATTTGATTGGCAAGGATATTTTATGAAAAACAATATTTAGTTATTACAAATAACTAACTTAACTTATTTTCTTAATCTACTCAAATTAGTTAACTAATTCTTATATTTAAGACTAGAGGTAGTATTATCTAGTGTATTGGAAGTTGGAACTCAATTTTACATGTATATATCACCCGTTTTATTTTTCCCTGTACATAAGCGCAATCTGGCATTGACATGGAATTGCCTTCGTTCACCATTATCCCTCAACTGTTCTAACATTTGCGTAACTAACGTGCGAGTCCTGTGTTTGTCCTTTGTATTTATCACAATCCTCTTGTAAAAGTTACACATAGGGGAAGCATGGACTTGGTCAGGTTTGCTATCAACATAAAGTCTAATCCAGTAAAAACTGATTTGATATTTAATTTGATTCTAAATATAAGATTCTAATTCACTTTATCTCTTATATTTATCTATTTTTTTCAAAGTATTCGTACATATTAAAGATTTTATCAAATGGTAGTTTTAACTAATACATATAATTAACAAATGTACGTTAAGAAAAATAACATTTATTTATTATAAATAACTATCTTAACTAATTTTTTTAATATTCTTAAATTAGTTAACTGGTTTTTATATTAAGTATCCATGTAGTATTAATATGTTTTACATGTATAAATCACCCGTTTATTTTTCCCTGTACATAAGCGCAATGTGGCATTGACATGGAATTGTCTTCGTCCACCATCGTCCCTCAACTGTTTGTTCCAACATTTGCGTAACTAACGTGCGAGTCCTGTATTTGTCCTTTGTATTTATCACAATCCTATTGTAAAAGTTGCACAAAGGGAATGCATGGAACAGACTAGGTCAGGTTTGCTATCAACGTAAAGTCTAATCCAGTAAAAACTGATTTGATATTTGATTTGGTTCTAAACATATAATTATAATTCACTTTATCTCTTATATTTATTTATTTTTTTTCTAAGTAGTCCTATCATAGTAGTTACACATATTAAAGGTTTCATCAAATGGTAGTTTTAACTGATACATATAATTAACACATGTATGTTAAGAAAAATAACATTTATTTATTATAAATAACTATCTTGACTAATTTTTTTAATATCTTTAAATTAGTCAACTGATTTTTATATTAAGTATCCATGTAATATTAATATGTTTACTGTGAGGATGGGCGTCTGATCATATCACTTGCTTTGATCTTAAACCGTACCTGTTAATTGTCTCCATAGACTATGTTTATGCTTAGTCTTACTTACTACGGTCCTAGATGTCATAATCAAATATTTTTTTTGGTCAAGTCATAATCGGATATATAAGAATTTAATTAATTGTATTTTCTGAATTCATAATTTTTTAAAATTATCTCTATTGTTGGACAAGTTAAAGGGAATTTGTATCTCGGTTAAAAAAAAAGGGGGAAATTTTTAGTAATGGGATGATTTCTATTATAAATAATCAAAAGGCGTATTTTGGAGAAATAAAAACATTTTTTTTATAAATATATAATTTAACTAATTTTATTAATTTTTGTAAATTAATCAATAATCATGTAACTTTTGCATTTAGGATGAAGGTACTACCGAGTAGTTTCCCTCTGGAGCGGTGAATATTATTATTAGTGATGTGCACATGAAGATATTTTATAACTATACTTCCAAATAACAAAGTGGAACGTATGACTACTGAAAGCAAAATGCTAGTCAAGTAAAATAATATATTCTAACAGAAAGAAGAGATGGCTTTTGGAAATTGGAATGAAGAAACGCCTTTACAATTCGTCAAAAGAAAGGCATTCCATGCTTTAATTTCCACCACCACCTCAAGTCGCTAATTTGTTTCTTATTGGGATCTTTGTGGCACGCCAGCATAATAACGCAGCATTTTTTAGTGGCACGAAATCTGCACAATTTTTAAGGAATTGGAAACAAGAGGAAATTGGAAAAGTAATTTGTGTTCTACTGTTTGGTATGTAACCTTCTACTTGGAAAAGCTTAGATTCCTGATTTACAGGAATTAATAAAATTAATTAAGTTGATTATTTATAAAAAAAAATTGTGTTAGTTTTTTAGTATTGCTTCCAGTGATGGATATTCTGGGCTCAACTTTACAAAAATATAATTATTGAAAATTATCCTGTGAATATAAAAATTTTCCTTGAATATGTGCAATCATAGGGATCGTTTAGGGAGAAAATTACTCAATCAGATCCTAAATATAAGAGCTAGCAAGTTTTTTTAGTTTTAAATATAAAATCTTAAACAACTTTTTTTTTAAAATTTATAATATTTTTTTAAACTATCCATATTATTGCACATGTTAAGCGAGATTCCATTAAAAAAAAAAAGAGTACTGACATAAATGATTAAAAAAGCATCTTAAAAAAATTAACACATATTTTTAACAAATAACTTTTTAATCACTGCAAATTACTTGTTTTTTATACCAGGAACCAAAGAGAGCATAAATTTAAAAGACAAAATATATTGAATATTTACAAGTTCTCTTAATTGGTTGTTATACTACCTCCGGTCCTAATTATAAGAGGTAGTTGACTAATTTGAGGAAATTAAAAAAGTAAGTTGAGTTAATTATTTGTCCTAACTAAGTGTTGTCTTTCTTAAAATATCCTTACTAATTAAGTATATTGGCTAGAACTATTATTATTAGAAGGACTATTTTAGAGAAAAATATATAAATATAAAAGATAAAGTGAATTATGTTCTTATATTTAGAACCAAAATAAAAATAATAAAAAAGATTTTATATTAAAATCCGGATGGTAGTTAGGATTGGAACAAGTTCAAACGTTGCTCTCTTATTCCAATTCCTTAAAAAACAAAAAATCTCGGTAACATAATCAAACGGGCGCATAATGGAATATCAAAAAGTAAAACAGATGAGCGTCATTAAAATTCCAGGCTCCTATAGTTATTCTAGTTATTAGTGGGAGACAAGCTGGGCGCGGTCAAATATGACACGATTGCATGAGTGACTGGAGGGCCTTCATTTCCGAAGAACACGTTGCGAGCACGTTGTCTCTTTTTAAGACATGTCATTGTAATTGGATTAATGCGCCCAATATGTGATAATGTTAAACTATGATGCTTCCTTTTCCTCCTCGTTTCATTGCCGCATCGTAATTTCCCGGAAGCTTTATAACTTCCACCCATATAATGCTAAACTAATCTTGGCTGCGTCACTTTAATGTCATCATGATCATCATTATTATGACTAATTAAATGTGGATCGGATCCAGATGTGGTCGGAGCAAAGCTCCGGTAAACTGGGTGGGCAACCTAAAAAAAAATTGTGGAGTTCATGTGTGCGGAGTTCGAGTTGAGCCCAAGTGTAAGCAATTTCTTTTTAAAAATTATATTGTATTATCTGCAGTTCTTAATATAAGAACTTGTTTGATTTTTATTTTGGTTCTAAATATAAGACTCAATTCATTTTGTCTTTTGTATTTTTTCATTTTTTTATGATAATGCTTGTAATAATAGTAGTTCTATCCAATATAATTGATTAGTAAGGATATTTAAAAAAAATAGCACATATTTATTACAAATAATGAATTTAATTATTTTTCTTAATCTATTTAAATTAGTTAACCGAATCTTATATTAAGAACCGGAGGTAGTGTTGAATAAATTTTTCTATGTGTGCGTCGGCGTGTAAAATATGTATTCAACTGATGTTGATTTTCTTCCTTTTTTTTTTTCTTTTTTTTTGGTTTTGTTTTTACGCCTGGCTGTATGTGAATTTGAATAGTTTTATTTTTTAACCCTTCTCTGAATAGTCAATTCAGATTAGACAGAATCGCTTAAATGCCGTATTTTCATGAGCTCGCGCTGAGAGAAGATGGACACTTATTTGGATGATAATTGAAATTACTAATAAGCATGTTTTATATAAGTTGAGACAAAACTTCTCTAACATATTTACTTTGTATTTCGTAAATTGTGATTAAAAAATTATTTATAAGTAATTCTAAATAGACTCTATGTTAATTTTAAAAGGTAAAATTATATTTTTAGTCATCTAACTTTATGTAAAAAATATTTTCAGCTTCTTACTTAATCTCATGAAGTGTATTTTTATTTCTTGAATCCTAACACTATTAACAAAAAAATGTTAATATTGAAATTTAAATGTAGACAAAACATTCTTAAATACTGATATATCAAGTTTAACATTAAAAAACTAATTGGCAGAAAAATTATCATTTGGAACCAAATTAAAATCTTACATAAACTTTTTTTTTTTTGGCCAACAAAATCTTGTATAAACTACTCCTCCGGTCCTAAATGTAAGACCCTTATACTAGTGTATAAGGGTCTTACATTTAGGACCGGAGGAGTACAATATTAGAGAAAAACAATTTTCCTTTTATAGAATATAACAAATTGTGAGATGAATTCTTCTTAGTCATTCACGGGATGCAGTTAGCTTAAGGGAGTGTTTGAATTTTTTGTTTAAAAATGATTTTATGTAACTCCAAATAAGCATATGAGAGAAATTTCATTTTAATTTGCATGTAAGTATTTTTCTTTGTTTTTTTTATTTTGGTGGAAAAAGGGGGCTCCAGCCCGTCTTATTACTTCAAAGTCTTTCGTGGGAAGGCAATTCCCACCACATCCCTGTGCAAATACTCTTTTACTCTCTGAGAAGGATTCTCCATAAATCAAAGCTAAGATTTGCAAGGCAATCTGCACAAACATTTCCCTCCCTATGGCTATATACATGCTTAAAACAAACCTGATCAAAACGTGTAAGCATTTTTCTAAATACTTTTGAACACTTCTAATCACCTACTAATATAGAGCCAGTTTTAAATAATTTATAAACAGCTTTTCAATCTTTGTTTATGAAATACAAAATAAATATGTAAACAAAATTTTATTTTGACTAACGCACAGCGTGAATAGGACTTTAGTAAATTTGTCCGGGGCTTATAATATACCGTCTCTTGTACGCACACCAATATTTACCGAATGAATCGCCGGTCAATGCGCCGCCTCCTTAAATCACATCGTTACGGAGCCCTCTTCTTTTCTTTTTTTAAAAATCAGTTTCCCCCCTTTTAAAGGATAAAATATCTAACTTTCAAAGTCAAAATAAAAAATTCTCCAGTCCTTATCTTTATTATCCAAAAAAAAAATGTCACTTTTCAAAAGCAGACTACGTGGAATTTTTTTTTGGGGCGGGAGGGAGAATGTTAAAACTAATCTCAGCCCAAACCCTTTTTAAGATCTTAAAAAAATTGGACCTGGAAGGACATTTATACTAAACATTTTCCAATTTTCAGGACCCAACCCTGAGAAATTGGGCTTAAATGAACAATCCGACGCGCCTCAACTAGTAGTGCCGGCTCGACGGAAAATCCCCGAATGCCCATCTTTGGACGCCACCAAATATCAAACCTCACTCAGTCCTCAAATATGGCTATGGAGGATCTTAATGGACCAAAAAAGCTGTTATAAATATCCATAAATCACTAATAAAATAATCTACCTTCGTTATTTTCTTGTTCACTCTTTCTCCCCAGAAGAATATTCCGGTGAAAACTCGATTTGAATTTCTTTACTTTTGTTCCCAAAAAAAAAAAAAAAGAACAATTTGAACTCCTTTACCCCATGCTTCCCTTCACATCATGAAGATAGATCAGCTCCAAATATATTTTTCCACCCCACCCCACCCGCCCGGCAAAAAAAAAAAAAAAAAAGACAACTTGTTTATCCATGCCCGTTCACTCCAATTTCATCCTTTCCGGAACAACTCATCCGCCAACCTCAGATCCAGAATTTGTTTGCATGCATCAGCACGCTTGTGCATTCCCAAGAACATGTAAGGTCTTGTACAATCACCAGTGCAGGGCACACTATTACAAGATAAAAAATTCCCAAAAGATGGATAACTAAGCTTCAGAATAGACCAAAGTCCACTCAAAAACGAAGCTGCTTATGTCCAGTATCAAGAGCGAAAACACAAACTCGAAGTACAACATGCTGCATTTACAGTGAAGCAGCATCACCATAAACAGTTCTCTGTAGTTAAGAAGTTGCCTTATTCAAAATTGAAACTACCTTCATAGAAGTACAGAGAACTATAATGATAATAATACCAATCAGAAAGCAAGCAGTCTAAGAAAGGCATGAGTATGCTAAAGCCTTCTCCTCTGAGAGCTCTTCTGCTGTCGAATCCATTTTCTTCCTTGAAAACTCATCAATGGAAAGTCCTGGCAGGAAAACAGAAAATCAAAGTAAAGATAAAAGCAATGAAAGACTGCAACTCCTGCAGCATAGTGTGTATTTTGTAAACCGTGCACCGCTTTTGTAAATATGTTTTGAGTAATGAATTCATTTTTTCATTTTTTTTTTAAAAGCGAATAACTGCAAACGTTGCAATGGCTAACATGTATATCAACTGTTGAAGCGGCAACAAAGAAACAAGATCATACGTGAAGTTGTCATCTCCAGTACCAGAATACCAAATTGTCCCAATTAACATTAGACAAAGAACTGGGAATTTTCGTTTAACTGTGACCCAAACTAATTCTACAGGGAGAAAATCCACCACTCATTGTGCCACATGGGCTGTAAAAGTAAAAGAACCGATACAAAATTATCATGAAACGGCTATTTTCAGTCTGTGATTGAAAGAGATTAGATCTTCTAGCCGACACAACAAACCAAGGATTATAGTGAATTAGGCAGAATTCTAATTTGCATTGCCATTAAGAACTTTAAATTAGGTTAGTACAAATCTAACAGTGACAAGGAATAAAAACAAGCAGTTAGAGACAAACTTAAGATTCAAACTATTAAAGACAAATTTCTTAACTCGAATAATCAACTGCATTCTTAGAGCAATTAGACTCTTACCTTGAACTATCTTCCACTCCCCACTTTGACAGGTGACTGGGAATGAATAAATTAACCCAGCTGGTACGTTGTAAGAACCATCTGAATACACTCCCATTGACACCCAGGTGCCCTGTATTTGAATTGGAAGAACAAAGCTAAGCACGAGACTCACACACTTTCAAATAAAATTATGAAAATGCCATCCAACCTCTGGAGTTCCAAGAACCCAATCACGAATGTGGTCACAAGCAGCACTAGCAGCAGATAATGCGCTTGAAAGCTTCCTAGCTTTAATAATTGCAGCACCACGTTGTTGAACAGTAGTTATGAATTCCCCATTCAACCTTCGAAAAAGAAACTAGCATCAATTCTTCTAGTCTTCAATAAATTCAAAACTGGGAAACTAAAACAGAAAAAAGAGAGGGAGAGAAGGTAGTATAAAGAGTATAAAAGTATTGGCTCATTCTTGTACCATGCATCATCAGCAACAAGTTCACGGACATGCTTTTCCCCAGCTGGGGTTTTAACTGTTGCATGGTTGACATCAGGATATTGAGTTGATGAATGATTACCCCAGATTATAACATTCTTCACTTCAGAAACTTGAACATTCAGCCTTTCAGAAATTTGGCCCAATGCCCTGTTATGGTCAAGTCTAGTCAAACAAGTGATGTTTTTCTCAGGAATAGATGGTGCAAATTCCTTCAAGATCAATGCATTCGTGTTGGCAGGGTTAGCAACAACAAGAACCTGCAAGATAATGAAGATATATAGGAAAAATGTCCAGTCATTTTGGAATAAAGCACCAAAGAAATGGATGGCTGCTGGCTACACATAGAAAGGATTGAAAAATGGTGAATTCAGATGAAATGGATTACCTTGCAGTTTGCAGAAGCATGCTTTTCTAGGGCAGAAGCCTGGGACTTGTAGATAGACACATTTTTTGACATCACATCTTTTCTCTCCATGCCTTCCTTTCTTGGAAACCCACCAACCATGACTGCAATGTTGACTCCAGTGCATGCCTCGACCACATCAGTTGTAGCAACAACACCTGGAACAAATATATCGCAAATAAATCAGAATCTAGCGGATCATTCAAACAAGTAAAGTTAGAGAACAAATCAACATTAATAGTTAGATGGTTATCGATAAATATTTTGACAATCAGGAAAAATCAGACCTTTAAGAAGTGGGAATGCAGCGTCCACCAACTCCATTTTAACCCCGTTCAGAGACTCTGCTGCTGGAGGAATGTCAAGCATGTGGAGTATTACAGGCTGGTCAGGACCCAGCATGACTCCCCTAGCAATCATGGGGACAAGTGCATATCCGATTTGTCCTAAATTTGCCAAAATATCATATCAGCACACCGTGCAGCAAGGTTGTCAAACTCACGAATTTAAACAAACTCGTAATAATGATATAAACTCAATAGTAAACTCGGATCGTAAAGTCGTAAGAGTTTACTTTTATTAATAAATTAGTATTAAAAGTATATAATCAAATAATTAATATATAAAAAATGAGAACAATTTTATTTAAATATATTTTAAATTTAAATAATTGAAATTATGTCCATCAATGTTCATAATTTATCACATTTAACAAAGAAATTTCTATAAAACTCATATATAAAGTCATTAAACATAATAAAATTCAAAATTTAAACATGAGTTTGAGAGCGAGTTGACACAATTTTGTAAGCTAAAAACGTAAAAACGGTAAACTCAGTAAATGAACTCGTAAGTTTAACCGAGTTTACACTTATCATGAGTTTAAGAGCGAGTCGACATGGTTTTATTAGCTAAAAACGTAAAAACGTTAAACTCAGAGAGTCAATTCGTGAGTTTGACAACAGTGCCGTGCAGTAACCCAGAATAGATATCACTATAGGACTGGGTCATTTCATTAAAATATATTTCGTGTATGACGAATATAAGAAACTATTTATTTATTTGATCTAGATGCAAGAAACGGATGATTGAGCCGATCATTCGGCAAAATTAATAATTGCAGATAAATATCATTCAGTGCTGGTCTTAATATGATTGCCAAACGAATGCATCACCGAATATAATTATTTTAATGAAGCAAATATAAGTTCTCATAATGAAAACATTATAACTGCAAAACCAGAGAAATACCGCTTCCTAAAATTCAAAGTATTTATACTCTGATCAATAAATTACCTCCAAATTGCTAACACTCCAGAAAAGAATGTCTATAATAAATATACATAGAAAGAGAGCGACAGATAGGCAGAGAGACAAAGAAACTCTAAGCATAAGGAATATTCTGAACAGATGTTTGGAAACAACATATTACTCACAAAATCCTGTAAACAATCAAAACACAAACAATGCAACTTTGAAAGCATGCATTTGAGAACACAGATCAGAAATTATCAAACCATTCCATTTCAGTCTTCATTTCAAAAAGAAATATTGATCGAAAGTTTACGAAAAATTCCTACTCCTTGCGGCATACTTTTGCTGGAGCCATTATTCAGAGGCCACAAAAAAAGCAACTATACTCCATTCACAAAGTAAAATCATAACACGTCAACATACACACTGACTATTATACCAACATATGTTTCTTATTTGTTCGGAAACAAGATGGGGGGTGCTGGCACAATCCATTGCAAAGAGACAAGAAAGGATTTGGACGCCACAATACCAAGAAGTAATGCGATCATGAATTGTGCAGCACAAGCCAAGAAATTTTGAAGCAGAAATACAATCCCATGTAAAACATAGGAAAAACATAATAACTATAGTATCTTTTCCTCTCATCAGCAGCAACAATCAAGTACTCCAAACAATCAAAAGCAGATAAAGTCACAAGCTTTAATACAATCCACAAGCATATATCGTAATAGATATAGATCTGAGCCCATATCAGATCAAGATCCACCACAAGAGCACCACACCGCAAATATGTCACATAGACTCAGCAAACAAATCCAAAACTATGTTCGATCGAGCAGTAAAGTAGAGTAAGTGACGGATCTGAAGCAAAAGAGGGAGAAAATAGGATAATCAAGACGAAAACCGTACCGGCAGCACCGGTGACCAGAACACGAACTGGTTCTTTCGCCATTGAGTTTCGATTGGAGAGAGGAAAGGGTGCAGAAGAAGGGTGGGCGACTTGCGGCTTCTCGTGAAGTGAAGTGCCAAGAAAACTGCGGATATCAGCTGAAGCAGGAAAGCGGACTAAAGCGGACCTGGGTACTTATTCGAGTGGAGTCCGAGGACGAGATGGTGCCACGTAATAATCATAATTAGTATCAGTATTAGTGTGTGAGGAGAAAAAAAGGAAAATTTCATTTAAGAACCGCAGTTGAGAATTTTTCAAAACATTCTGAAATATCACTGCTAGACCAGGAGAACAAACTAAAATTAAAATTAAGAGTAAAATTATAATAATACCCCTCGTTTTTATTTTTTTAAAAAAATAAATATTAATGATCGTCGAAGGTCGGAGGTCCAGCCACCGGAGGTTGGACCTCCGGTGCCTACTACTGTTGTTCTAGTGGCCATAAGTTTTTTTTTTTTTAAACAAGATGGCTAAAGGAAGGTTTGAACTCATGACCTCTTAGCACACCAAAAGTAATATAACCACCAAACCATTCAATTATATAATGCAAATAAAAATATATATAACAAAACAAATGCAAATGTTCAAGTATAAGTGAACAAGTGAAATTCGACATTTTACAAGTGAAATTCAGTAATTTACAACAAAAATTTAGTAATTTATAAATAACATAATAGAATTTATAATCCCAAATACAAGTGTTTAAGTGCAAATGAGTAAATGAAATTTGAATATTTATAACAAAAGTTTATGGATTTATAACTCAAATTTGGCTATTTACAAGAAACACAAGAGAATTCACAACCCAAAATGTAAGTGTTTGAGTATAAATGAACAAGTGAAATTTAACAATTTACAACAAAAATTTTGCAATTTACAAATAACATAATAAAGTTTATAACCTCAAATGCAAGTGTTTAAGTGTAAATGAACAAATGAAATTTTTGTTGTAAATATTGAATTTCACTTGTAAATCCATAAACTTTTATTATAAATCTCCGACAGTGGCTACCTGAGTGCCGATGGTCGGACCTCTGACCTCCGATGGCCGGACCTCTGACTTCCGGTGGCTGGAACTTCGACAATCATTAATATTTATTTTTTTTAAAATAAAAGTGAGAGATATTATTATAATCTTACTCTCAATTTTAATTTCAGTTTGGTTCCTTAGTCCTGCAATGATATTTTAGAATGTTTTAGGAGCTGTCTGATATAAATTCTCAACTGCGCTGTGCTCCTTAAATGAAATTTTTCCAAAAAAAAAAAGGAAGTAAACCTTTTTTTTATTTATTAAAAAGGTCAACCCTATTTAAAGGCACAGACCCAGAGCATGCATACTCTATCTTTTCCTTGGACGGAGTTTTTTGGGCCGGATTTCTTCCTGTCCATTTAAAGGCACAGAGCATGCCTATTCTCTTTCTCTGTTTTCATTTGTTTTCTTTTTTTTCCCCCACAAAAACAAACTGCTGTAATTATAATGCTTTATTGTATTGTTTATAGAATACTATGAGATTATATGTAACATATGATACCTATACCAATATATATTCCAAAAATTATATATGATCTATTATCTATTAATATCGATATAAAACAAACATGCTTAGAGTTCATAGGTCAAGTGTGCGTGCTTTCTTTTTTTTTTTTTTATTGAGATCTGTTTCCTTGGTCAGAGCTACACGCAACGTTGTTGATTATACACACCCAGTCCCTTGTGCTTCTGAACTAAACCACTAATGACTCAAACGGACACACATTAATGATATTTAGAATGAAACATTTGAATCCATAAAGTCTCACTCGCTTGGAGAGCTTACATGTGACTACTGTAGAAAGCCATATGCAGACCTCAATTCAGTCTTTCAAATTTATAATTTTCCCCAATTCACCTCTCTTGTTTACCCCTATTACAAAAAAAAAGGAAAAAAAAAACATCAATGTGGATTATTCATAATACGAATGATTAAAAAAGATTTCAAAAAAAAAAAAAACAATGCATACCTTTTACAAATAATTAACTAAATTTTTTTTAAAATTTGTATAATTGATCATCGATCTCCTATAATGAAGATAAGAAAGTCTTCAATTTTAATTTGATAGAAATAAGATGAATACAATATTTAAACTGTGGAGCTGTGGGTGAAAATATATATATATATATATATATATTGGGTTAAAGTCATCAAATTTTTCGTAGTATATATTTTCTGAATGCAGCTCTATAGTTTGCAGGCGTCTTAAATCTCTCATAACATGTTATGGCATGATATGGAGACCCAGATTAAGAATTTCAAACTGTAGCATTTAATTGTCAGCGTCCAATACCATAATTCTGTACTTCCACGAGCACATAATCTTGCACGATCACCAGTGGGTGCCATCTGGGATAATAAGTACACATGGGGAAAATACGGAGAATATAGTTGTGTCCATTATCATGAGTGAAAAACATGAGTACTGCATGCTGCAATTAAAGTGATTACTTTCGAAAGCAGCAGCATCTCCATTAGCAGTTATTCTGTAATTAAAATAGTTGCATTATTCAATTTATATAGACTACTACTGTCATAGAAAACACGAAGGGACCAGCAACAACGCCAAAGAAGAAGCAAGCAGTCTAAGAGAGGCATGAGTAAGCTAATTCCTTTTCCTCCGACAGTTCTTGTGCTGTCGAATCCATTTTCTTCCTTGAGAACTCATCAACGGAAAGGCCTGGCAGAATATAAGAGAAACTCATATTAGATACATCCATTGAAATAAGTGCAAAGAAGGTGATAACAAAGTGGCTAGAATTGTAATACTTAAGTCATCCGTGATTTTGAAACTGTCATCTCTCCTACCAGTTGTCTCCGGGTTAAGGTTTGACAGAAAATAGGGCATACTAGTTTGATGCTATCTCAGACTAATCCTTAATGAAAGAAATTCCATCATTTATTGTGGACGCACACCAGATTTTAAACAAGGAAGCGCTACATAAATTATGAAAGAACAGCTATTTTCAGTCTATCATTGCGACAGACTAGATTTTCTAGTCCACACGTACACCAAGGACTATAGTGAACCGGTGATGAGTACTAACGTCCAATTCTAGGCTGTATTGCTCGCAAAAATCGTATATAAGGCTAGTTAAAAACTAACAACGACAAAGAATTAAAGCTTGCAATTATGAAATCATGGTCAAATCAATTTAAGATTCACAAAATATTAAACACAAAAATTTGATCAGTCAAAGATAGAAACTTCCAGCTGCATTCTTCCCCCAGAGTAACCAGACTCTTACCTTGAACTATCTTCCACTCCCCATCACGGCAAGTTACAGGGAATGAATAAATTAGTCCAGCTGGTACGTTGTAGGAACCATCAGAGTATACTCCCATTGACACCCAGGTGCCCTGATTTTAGACAAGAAGAATGCAATTAGCATTTTCCCCCCAATCTTTTCGGGGCTAAAAACAAAACTGAACCAACCTCTGGAGTTCCAAGAACCCAATCACGAATATGGTCACAAGCAGCACTAGCAGCAGATAGCGCACTTGAAAGCTTTCTAGCTTTAATAATTGCAGCACCTCGTTGTTGAACAGTAGTTATGAATTCCCCATTCAACCTTCAAGAGAGAAAATTGCGTAAACCCTTCAATATTTCAACAAGTGCAAAACTTTAAACGACAAGAAGGGTGCAAATATTAAGCTTTTAAGTATTCGTCCAACTGCATACCATGCATCATCTGCAACAAGCTTACGGACAGGCTTTTCGCCAGCTGTGGTCTTAACTGTTGCATGGTTGACATCAGGATACTGAGTTGAAGAATGATTGCCCCAGATGATAACGTTTTTCACGTCAGAAACTTGAACACTTAGTCTTTCGGAAATTTGACCCAATGCCCTGTTATGATCCAATCTAGTCAAACAAGTAATGTTTTTCTCAGGAATTGATGGTGCAAATTCCTTCAAGATCAATGCATTGGTGTTTGCAGGGTTGGCAACGACCAAAACCTACAAGATGAAAGCCAATCTGAATATAAGATTTAAAGGAAAATGAAATTTAACCAACACTTGCATGGTGATAAATTAATCAAGATGAAATCTCATGGACTTGGCTACAAAGGATCAGAGGCTCTTCCTCAAAATGCCAAGTAAATTCAAGGGAAAATCTGACAGAAAGTAAGACATATTTTATGAAAATCCTAAGTTCACAGCAAAGTTCTTTATAATAACTTTTTCCCTCTCAGCGGATTAAATTACCTTGCAGTTTGCAGCTGCATGCTTTTCAAGTGCAGAAGCCTGGGACTTGTAGATAGACACATTTTTAGACATCACATCTTTTCTCTCCATACCTTCTTTTCTGGGAAACCCACCAACCATTACAGCAACATTGACCCCAGTGCATGCCTCAACTACATCGGTTGTAGCAACAACACCTGGAACAAATAATCTCATAAGACATCCAAATCTAGCATATCAACAACAATAATGATAAGCCTTGTCTCATTAAGCAAGGTCGACTACATGAATCACCTTCATGCCTTAGAATCTAGCGTATCATTTCAACAAAATCTCAAGATGATTGTCTACGAACTTCATAAACGTTTCACAAGGAAAAAAATTGACACCTTTAAGAAGGGGGAATGCAGCATCCACTAACTCCATTTTAACCCCATTCAATGCCTCAGCAGCTGGTGGAATGTCAAGCATGTGGAGAATTACAGGCTGGTCAGGACCTAGCATGACTCCCCTAGCAATCATAGGGACAAGAGCATATCCAATTTGTCCTGTAATGGCCAAAAGATCATGTCAGCATGACACAAAATTACAGAACATCGGAATTACTGATGGACTGAGTTGCGTTATCGGCATATCTTTTTTGTACACAATGAGTTGCATAAGTTACATATAAGAATTTGATCACAAATCCTACAAGAGCAACTATTAAGTCATGGCAGTAGAAACTGCTAAACTTCATTCAGAGTGAGCCATCGGAAGTCAATCTCCAAAGTCCAAACTGAGTATGACAGTTCAGCATGTTTCATATTGATCCGGGAAAAAAAAAAAAAAAAAGGCCTGCCGCTGCAGTCTACAAGAAAGAGATGATAGAGGATCTCGCCGCTATGCAACAAAGAAGTGATGCGAGTGCGATCATTTGCAGGATAAACCAAGACAGACTAGTATGAAATAGAAAAACAGTCAAAAGATTTACTATTCCACACACAAAAAAAAAAAGAAAAAAAAGAGAGAACTTGGACATTCGTATCCTTCCCCTGATCAGCAACACCAATCGCCAATTCTCAACAATCCGCAGGCATACATTATCCGAGGATCAGATCTGAACCATATCAGATCGAGATCGAATATGCAATGAAAACAGCATTTTAACACAAACCCATCATATGGAAACAGCAGATAAACCTAAGACCAGGCACGATCGAGCAGTGACCCAACAGTAAGTGATTATCTGAAGCATAGGAGCACTGATGAGATGATATCGATGGATACCGTACCTGCAGCACCGGTGACAAGAACACGAACTGGTTCTTTGGCCATTGATTTCAGCTGGGAAAATGGAGCAGATCAACGAGAAGGATGGGTGACTTGCTCTACTTCACGTGAAGGGTTGAGAGACAGTAGGGAGTGAGAATTTCATGAGGACACGGGAGGGGCGGGGGACTTAGGTATTTATTCCGGGAAAGTTTTGACTTTTGAGTTAACTTTAGCCTTCTGCGTCGTTTTGGCAGACTAATAAAATATATTTGAAAAAACAAATAAATAACAACATCAACCCTTTTTTTGCCAACTTTTTTCCCCCGCAACTGCATCAAATTTTTTGGTCAACTGCATGAAATGGTTTTGAGGGGTTCTTTGGCCAAAAAGTGGTTCGAATGGTCAGATTGGACTTTTAAGTTTTAATAGTTTAATGCAAAATACTCTTTTTCCCATCATAAATATAAAACCTAATTTATATAATAAAATGGGTTTTACGTTTAGAATAAGATTTTTTCCCAAAACAAGTCTTGTTTGGATATATGAATAGAAAACAATTGGAGTGAAGTTTTCTCCGGCGGGTATGTAGTTTATACTTTACACATAAAATGACACCCAAAACCTTAACGGCACGATAGCGTCCTAAACAAGAAGGCTCTTTAACGGCGGCGTCATTCTCGCGTAAATGAGCTGATTAGTTAAAACTTTGTGAACCTACGTTGAGAAAGTTTGGCTAATAAAACCGACCATGAACAAAAAAAAAGAATTACAAAGATATATACATTTAAAAAAAAAGAAAGATAATTAGTAGGTTAAAACATGGCGGTGTTAGTCAGTCAAAATAACACACTCAAACACGGCAATAGCCGTTATAAAAAATCAAACTTTAATGATAAAGATATGTACTGTCTTTAATATTAATATCTTATTTATAGGTTACAAATAAGATCTTATAATTATGACCGAAAATAACACATGTATAATGCAATTAAACTATTGTTTATGAAATGAACTATACGTCGAATTTCTCAAACTTATTATTAACCCCTTGCAAACTGAGTATTTTTATTGGGAAAAATATGGAGTAAATTTTTTGAAAAATATGGAGTAAATTAAAGCTTTTGAGATTTCTCACTTTGTTTAGTTGTCGTGCAGATAGAAATTTAATTGACAGAACTGTTTGGCGAAACAAAACAATGAGATGAATGTGATTGTATATGCCTTTTAAAGTCAAAAGTTCAGTGTGCATTTGGTCAATAAGATGGTAATAAGTTAATAAACGCGTAAAATGTTAAAATGGTATCAATATACTTTTTTAATGATAAGGATTTTGAAAAGACCAAAAAAAGTTGAGCATGTGTTTTTTTCGCTAAGGGATATGAATTAATTATCTTTTCACAAATAGTAAAAGGGTATGGAGACATTAGCCTGCAAGCTTTGCCATGGCGCTCTCCTACATGTTGTCCGTGATTGACCATTGATCCTTGCTTTTTTAGTTAGCAGTTAACTTAGAAGCGACTTTTATAGCACGCCTTCCAAGCAATTGCTCGTCAATGATTTGAATCCTCCTTGCAAAATTCAAAACTCGGAGAAATACTTTTGGCTAGCTCTGTTGAGAGCCATGGAGTGCTAGAAACAAGAGGTTTGGCGGAACCAAAAACTCGTCACTTTGATGAACATCATAAACTCATCAGATCTGGATCATTCATATCTCATTTAAATGATCCGAATTTGATTTTTTACTTTTATTTATTTAAAATAATTATTTTAATATGTATAGAATTTAAAATAGAAATAATCTCTTGACTGTCTTTTTTTAAAAAAAATAGTTTTTCCATTAAAAAATAATTAACTAAAGATTTTAAATCTATACCATTTAAATCAGACATAAACACTACAGATTTGATGAATTGAGGGTGTTTATTAAGGTGATGAGCACTAGTTCCAGGGTTTGGTTTTCAATCATGTTTAAAATATTATTAGGTATTAAATATAAGTATATCTTTCAACAAATATCTAAATCTTAATTTATCATATCACAGACTTAGGGAGTGTTTGGGTAAGATCAAAATCATGGTTTCAGAAGTGCTTTTACAATATACGAAGTAAATATATAAAAAAATTTGTCTCGATTTATAAAAAAATACTTCTGAAAGGTGATTATTGAAGTATCCAAACACCCTCTCAATCTCTTGCCTAGCACTTATTTCATAAGCCCCGTACCCAAGTGTTCTTAAATTCGTTATTTCTGTCAGGGCAATGATAAATGGATCTATTGAACCAAAGCTGGGTTACAATTTTTATTTATATATTCGATCAGCCCAATCGAACCCCTACCCCAAAAAAAAAAACCAAAATCATTACGGGTTCGAATTAAACCAACCCGATCTGCAGACCCACCAGCCTCCACAGTCTGCAGAATGCTGCGTGCTGCGTGTCTTCTTCGTCTTCGTGTGCTCACCTATTAGCCGGTGGTTCTCAAGTCAACCCGTTCTAACCATTTCTACGGCGGCTTCTCGTCGCTACTCACACATAGTCATAGCAACGCCGCCACCGTCTTTCCGTCTTTGTCCTCACCTATTTGCCGGTGCTTCTCTGTCTGTTAGCTCCCTAGTCTTCGTGAACTAGGGATCTAAGTTTTATGAATTATAAGTGGAAGATTGGGAATGCTGCTTCTATACACAGACCAGCAATGATGAACATGCCGGGATCTTAAGATGAAGCTAAAGCTGATGCGTCTTCTGAAAAGTACCTTCGCTTGAGAAGGCTAAAACTGTACACTCCTGATGTGCAATGTCCTCAAGTTTCTATTTTTCTTACATGTGATGAGATTCGTTGATGGAACTAAAAGTTGAGGTTCACCCACAATATTCTAAGCTTCTAATCCCTATTGGCATAACCAAATTTGTTATTTGTTGGATCAATTTTGGTTGCTGCTTCATCTAATACCAGACAGTATTGCTAGGAGAACACAAATACACTAGCTACTTCATTGTATACACAATTTATTCATCAGATTAAAACAATGAAAAGCACTGCACCCTTCTGTCTGCTGTATGTTGAGAAAGAATAGCAACAAATGGAAGAAGCCCGGGAATGATAAAGGAAAAGACAAAAAAGAACACAAATAAAAATCTCACACAAGCGTAGCTAGTAATTTTGCTACACATCTTCACACATCTTTTCAAGAGCCTTGTATTTATATGGTTACTTTTTCTTTAGACTGAACCCAAATTGAAGAAAACCAAAACCAAACCTCCTGCACATCAATATGTCATTTCATATCCTGTATATCGAAAAATAAAGGGAATTAATGAGGGTGGTATTTTTTCTGTGGCTGTTATCAAATTCTCCAGCAAACAATGAAAAATTATAATACCTAAATTTTGTCCGATAATTAATCAGCTCAGGTACTGCGAGCTAGCCTCTCTTGGAATTCAAGCAAAGACCTCTCTTTCTGAAGCTTCATGTCTTCATGGAACTTCTTGATGAACTCCTCTGCCTTCTCGTCCACCTGCAAATTTGGTGACTTAACCACCACAACCTTCCATGCATCCTCTAAAGTATCCAATCCATTGCTGCTCTCTGCTTTTCCTCCCAAATCCTTATTTCTCATTTCTGCTTTGCCTCTGCTTCTCATTTCCCCTTTAGCCGCATGCCCAGAAGCAGACAAAGAAAAAGAAGAAGAATGTGTAGAAGCTGAAGGCTCCGCAAAAAGGTCATCTATACGAATGGCACTGAAGTTCTTGTGCTGAACATGGTGGTAAGCAGAGGAAGGGTTATAATAAGAGCAGTGTCTGGTGGGAAGAGAACGATGACGACGAGCTTTGGCGGAGATGAAGTGACGAAAAGAATGAAAGGTGGAAACCAGGCGTTGAATGGTAGTTCTGATTGCTCTGGAAATGTTGAGCTCGTTGACTTTGGATTGGACTCTGTTGGAGAAGTTCCTCCAGGCCTTCTTTGCTGGTTGAAGCTTCTTTGTTAGTCTTAGGCGAGACATCAGCTTTTTGGGATGATATGAAAGAGACGATTATGATGATCTCTGAATGAAGCCTTCTGAGCAGAAAAGAGGCGTAGATGGGAGAAGAGGAGAGTTGGAAAGGGAAGAAGAAGAAGATGATGAAGAGAATGTTAAAGATAGTCCTTAAGAAGCAAGTTTTGAGGATGCCCCACTAGTTTTATAATTCCTTTCTTCCTACCTCCTCCCTCCTATTATCTTTGCTCTTTCGCAATAAAAAAACCACATATACTATCCAAAATTTCCTAAGATAAACTGTATAAAAGTAATCATTTTTCCTTAAATTATACTATCATATTTCATGTTATATTGGTGCTTAATACCACATGGCATATGGGATGTGTGTCGTATAGGGGGAAATAACTTGCATACTATGTTGGGGAATTGGTACGCTAGCGCGGAGCGCCCTGTCATACTGCAAAGCCACACCAACTTTCTATATCAATTTGGCACATCATCCATACAATTACATAAATGCCATTTGTTTGCTTTCGTTGCAGCAAAATTTGAAACATAAAGCTAGTCATAAGAAGAGTGGCAAAACTTGCAATTCATCAAATCTAAAAGGTCAAAGTTTCCAAGTCAAAGCCAATCACTTTCGGCAGAATAGACAGCATAAAATGAAAAGCAACCTTGGGGGCTAAGTCTAGTGAGAATATGAGGGGAAAGCTCAAAGCTCAATCCCACAACACCCACCAATATTGGCTTTCCCATGTGCATTGCCAGCACGCAACTTTTTTTGGTTGGCTTTGTGTGGGCTCTAGGCTCGTTTGTTTTGTACTGTAAAGGGATTTTTAAATACACCTACATAATTGCTTTCTTTGTTGCCGTGGCTTAATCTAATTATAACATAATGGCCACTCCATGTTTTCTAATGTTCAAAGCTTAGCGATGAGATTTTGAATGTTAGCTATTAGACTTTGAAGATTAAGAATAGACCAGCTATAGCCGGCCCTTAAATATTCAGACCAATTTCCCAGTCACTGGAACAATAAGATTAGGTTTTGTTTGGCAGTCACGGTATTCAGTAGGGGAATTAACCGGTAACCACCCTCTCGTTATCACTTTGAAAGCGACAACCAAACGTGTTAGTTTGGATTCCGGATAGTTCCTTTAACCCCTTGAGGCGATTATTATATGGATAAAGTATCGGTTTCCTTTTCTGCTGGAAGATCTCATACCTGAGTGGCATAAAAGAGAGCCTTTCAACTAAAGCACCTTTGATTCTCTCTTGAAGCTGATCCATGTGCAGTTTTTCGAGGAACACCCTGTTTTTCTATCCACTGTACTTTTCTTCAAATTGGAAAAGAAAATACGTTAAGTCCCTTCTTTATTGAATACTATTTATTATGGAGGCGACAAGGGAGCCAACTTATACTCCAAAGGATAGCCTATCGCTTGTAAAATTGTGATCGGAAAAAGTCTCAAGTAGTATATTCAAAAATAAAATGATCCTAAATAACCATGCATTAATTTTAAGGATAATTATCAGTAAGTCCATAATAGCCAGATCATTCCGTAATAATCCATATATCACTTGTGGCATGAAGCTGCCACTTATTTTGGCAAAAAATCTTGTTTATCTTTAAATTACATAATTAATTTATGATGGTAACAGCATATCAGGCAACAACAATACACATCGCTGTCTGAATGTTTTACTTGGATAGGACGAGTCTACAGTGACAGCAAGAATGGGGAGAAAAACTCTCCTCCTCCCAAGATAACATTCGGATAGTTTAGATTTAATCTCTTATGAAATTTTTTTTGTTTTGCTTTACTTATAATTTTAAACTATTTAGCATTTTGAATTTGATTATTTGTCCTTTCATAATTCAATATTTTAATATAATTTTGTATGAGATCAAAGCTAAACTGTCCAAATCTTGATCCAATGGTTGTAAAAAGAAGAGTAGAAGAAGATGAGAAAGGGAGTGGAAGAAAAACCTTCCCCGAAGAATTGTTCATAGTGACGTGCCTTGAAACTGGTTCGGCTTTACTTGTTTCTAACAGATTGTGTCAAGGCATGCACACTTATCGGATAAGACCATGGCCCCATCCAACGTAACCCTCTCCGGTCACGAATAGCCCTTTCAAATTCAATTATGAAAATTCAGTTCTGCAGTCATATGCTCTAGCCTGCGTATGGGGAAATCAAGAACCAATTTCCTACCCCATTGTGTTCGTTTCAACGAAAATCTGCTTGATTAAATATCAATGTCGGCAAGTCTTTATGATATATGGTTAAGCCATTCAGATTTCTTCTGTAAGTAGTATATTCAAAAATAAAATGATCCTAAATAACCATGCATTAATTTTAAGGATAATTATCAGTAAGTCCCATAATAGCCAGATCATTCCGTCATAATCCATGATATCACTTGTGGCATGAGCTGCCACTTATTTGGCAAAAAATCTTGTTTATCTTTAAATTAAATAATTAATTTATGATGGTAACAGCATATCAGGCACAATACACATCGCTGTCTGAATGTTTTCCTTGGATAGGGACGAGTCTACAGTGACAGCAAGAATTGGGGAGAAAACTCTCCTCCTCCCAAGATTAACATTCGGATAGTTTAGATTTAATCTCTTATGAAATTTTTTTTGTTTTGTTTTACTTATAATTTTAAACTATTTAGCATTTTGAATTTGATTATTTGTCCTTTTCATAATTCAATATTTTAATAATAATTTTGTATGAGATCAAAGCTAAACTGTCCAAATCTTGATCCAATGGTTGTAAAAAGAAGAGTAGAAGAAGATGAGAAAGGGAGTGGAGAAAAACCTTCCCCGAAGAATTGTTCATAGTGACGTGCCTTGAAACTGGTTCGGCTTTAACTTGTTTCTAACAGATTGTGTCAAGGCATGCACACTTATCGGATAAGACCATGGCCCTATCCAACGTAACCCTCTCCTGTCACGAATAGCTCTTTCAAATTCAATTATGAAAATTCAGTTCTGCAGTCATATGCTCTAGCATGCGTATGGGGAAATCAAGAACCAATTTCCTACCCCATTGTGTTCGTTTCAACGAAAATCATGCTTGATTAAATATCAATGTCCGCAAGTCTTTATGATATATGGTTAAGCCATTCAGATTTCTTCTGTACTTAAATATTGGGAGAAAAAGCAGCAGTTTGGTTGTCTTTGAAATTGAAAGCTTTGGAAAACAAGTTACAATGCATAGTGCGGGCAAACGACGTTCAAAGGCTTTGCATTTGATGACACGTGTATCTAGAATAGTGCCACGTCAGATTTATCAGTAGCCATGTCAGAAGACAACTACCACATCATCAAGACAAGTTTTCGTTTCTAACGCTTCCGGTAGGGGTATAATTGCAGAATTTGATTACGGTAACGTCCCCCCCCCCCCCCCCCCCAAAAAAAAAAGAAAAAAAGGAATCAAAATAAAATATTTGACAAACTAAAAGAACCAAAAAACACGCATAAGCTTAATATGTAAGCAAACAAAAATGAGAAAAAGGGGAATACTTCTACAAGCAGAAGACATTGAGGAAGGTATATCGCCCTTGTTGAGTTAGCACTAAGCAAGGAGTACTCAGTAAGACCTTTTCCATGCGACGAGATCTTCTGTCTGACACATAAAGTAAACACCACTTTTAGCAAAATTTTGGAGAGTGTAATGAATTCATCATCTAGCGATGCCTTTAGAGCTTTAAACTGACGTTCACTCGTCCTCAATTTCTTGTGTCTCATACCACCATGAAACAGGGCCAAGGCCATCATGATCCAATGAACCCTATAAAATAGACAACTTGGTAAGGCATGCTTCCCATGATGAATGACGCGATGCGTCACTTTTCCAAGTTTCAATAACATGCATTGCCGGAGAGGGTCCTAACATATGGCTCTTATTGCGAGCAGAATTGAAGTCTTCTGCTGAGATGGCTTTTTTTTTTTTTTTTTTTTCATTTTTTGGCATCAAGATGCGAGCATAGATAATATTAGTTACAAATTTTTCTTTCCCAAGGTTGTCTCAAACTTAGCAGCAAAGGTTGCTTTTAATTTTATTATTTTGTTAGACAATTAAATGCTAACCAAACGGGAATATATATGCCAGCAACTCAACATATACAGTGACAACAAAATGTCTAAGCAAAGACAGTATATCCCTTTCTCCTCCCCCTTTTCTCCATGAATCAATCATTACTTACTCTAAAGGTTAAAATACTTACAGTAACCACCATAGGGGCAAATGGCTTTGATTCTTTTGGCTGCTCTACAGGAATTGAAGGGTGACTCACATTTTGAACTTGGAATTTGATCTGCAATGTTGGCAACTTGCAATTAGTATATTCTTACATTTCAGACATTTAGTTGACAGAATGACAACGTAAAAGGAAGTGAACCTCGTCAGTATCATCAATAGGATATGATTGTTCGTTAAAGTTCCAATACCATGTGCCTTTATTGCTGTAATTTGAATAGAAGCATATAAGTATGCCATTCAAAATTCAGCTAAAAACATGCATTAATCTCAACAAAAGAGAAGAACAGGTTTACAGGCCATGTCAAATTTAGATAAACTGTATAAGCACATCAAGAAAATATTGATAAACTCAAAATGAGATGGATTGGGCATGTGATGCCCTGGTACATAAAGTCATCAAAGAATCCAAGTGATACTGTCAAACAGAAGCAAAAATTACAAACACAAAGGAACCATTAATAAAAAACTGTACATGGAACAATCAGAAATAATAACATGATGCAAACATTGTATAGAGTTGTAAACGTTGGGGGGGGGGGAAGAGCTACACGATATGAGAAACACTGAAGGTGTCAGATATGCATAAAAGGAAACGAAGAAGGAAAAAATAAACATTAGATATGATCACAGATTCACAATTTAACATGAAGGGTTATTTTGATTATTACCTTTGACCCTCTTCAGGAGTTTCAATCACACTAGAATTCACTCTTAAAATTCCAAATCTTTCTTACTCTGACAAATAATAGTTTGCTAGAGTGGAGCAAATAAAGTTTCTGGTGGGTGATGACTTTTATATAATCTCCACCCTAGCACCAACCCCCCCCCCCAAAAAAAAAACCGAAAAACATTGGAGAACAGCTAAAACATGTAATTGAAGTGAAAATTGCAATACTGTATAAAAAGGGGTGAAAATTGCAGTAAGAAGTAGATGAAAATATTGGGCATACAGCGTAAGCCGTCAGCATCTGATGCCAGCAATTTTGCAGTAATAATCTCTCCTACAAATGGGCGGAACATGATTAAAGTAAACACAACCTGCCAAAAATCAGAACAAAGTCAACACATCATTAAAAAACCTAATATTTTATTGACTACTATAAACGCATCATTTATGAGTCTACCGATCGCAAATTTGAGTGTCTTTTGAACATCAGTCTTCTTTCATTCCTCTTAAAGTTAATGTCAGGCCAAAATAATCAGTAAGGGCTATAGTCTATCAAATATTCTATCCTATAACATACTTAATGCACCACCATGGTCTAAACCTACAGCATATGATAAAAAGCTCAAGGCCAAATGTAGAGTTCACAAGTTAAGAACATATACAGTATAAGTTGCAGCACCATCGCCTGGGAAGATAAATCCGCCCTCAATGGACCTAATGTCATAGATGGAAATGCATAGCCCCAAATCTGCAATAACCTTCATCATCATACAGCCATATCAGCACCGCAAATTTAATAAATTAAACTATACAAAAGAAGTTCATAAATGAAAATCAAAATAACAGCCCATCGAACCTTATCCAAGAAAAGTTTCTCGAGTTCATTATGAATAGACTCCTGAATTGGAAGGCTAAGAAGATTTGGAGGTAAGCGCAATGTGTGCTCAATTCTACTGAGGTAGAACATGAATGTGACACCAGGCTGAGCCAAATGGAGAGGTAGTCAATACTAATAATCAGATAAATTATAGCAGTGACCATCAAATACAACTAATCTACTAGTAACGGCAAAAGCTCCTAAACAAGGACATAGTCAATTGGTGCCAGACAGAATATTAGGATGATCAAGTTGGTTGATGAAACTGACACAAAGTAATACAAGCTAGAGTCACATAATAGATTAGATCAGAGGAAGAAAAATGAAAATAGCTAGAGATTATCCAGATAGAATCAATGACGCAGGCAGCATGACATTCCCACAAATAATTTGTTAAATTGCAGTGAATTTGCAAAAGCACATTTGAGTGCAGATGGTTAGCGCAGAGACACAAGGGTGGGGGCTAAAATATAAAGAAAATAATTAATTATTTCACAAATTAATGTTGTTCGAAGCTAAAGCCATCAGACAAAGATTCTAATGTACTAGAAGTGGTTCATATCTCCTAGCTTTAACTGATTATTAACTTGCATGGAAGAGCTAAATAATCTATTTCCACCAACTAGAAGCCCCACAGACTTATGGAAAAATCGAATAAATGCATCAAATTCTATCAGCATTTTGAAAGTTTCGGTACAGCATCTGGTTACTGTTGTCAAGTTCATATTGATCATCAAGTTTTCCAGGCCATGGCTTCTTTGATGAGTTCATATCAAGATTATTTCTTTAGGCCAGACGAAAATGAATTTGCTCATATTTGGGGAAAAAAGCCCGAAAGGACATAAGATACAACGCAAAAAAAAAAAGGAGAAATATTCGGCAACCACAATCGGAAGGCTCGACTGTTGAATTTAAGAAACGAACAAATATCCAGGTTCCAACGAAACCAATTGAAATTCCAAGAAGATAAGACTTGAACTAGAAATACACTCTCACCTCACCAGTAAGAAAGATTGGTAGGAGCACGTTTAATCGTCACTTAGAAAAATGATACCCTTAGCTTTGGGAGAGTCTGCGTATGAATGTAAGAAACGCAAGACGAGAGCTTTGGGAAAAGCCTACAAGAATGAAAGAAACCACACGAAGGAGGAGCACCACGAACTGAAGGAATGGCCAAGCTACGGACTGAGGAGCAAGAGCAAGAGCACCACGAACTGAAGGAATGGCCAAAGCTACGGACTGAGGAGCAAGAGCACCACGAATCAGCAGAGGCGGCGTCGGGCTGAGCACCACGACGACGAAGGCTAGGAGAACGACGGTTACGGCTACGGCGAGTAGTAATTGAGGGGCTTGGGTAATTAGTCGACGAAAGATCAACGGCGAGCAGAATTGGGCAGGAAAGATCAACGGAGTCGGGCTCGGGACTGGTTTGAAGAAAATAATAAGAGAGAGAATGACCAAAAAATCTGGGAAAATTGCAAATGAATACCCTCTAATATGTAAAATTATGATTTAGGATCCTAGATTCGAAAAATAACAAATAAGGACCCAGTCTCACTTTTGTAATATGAAATGTGGGTGAAGTGTCTGAAATACCTCTCAGCCAAATTGAAAGTGTGATACTGAAATTGTCATTCACTAAAGTAAATTATCATTTTTCATAGTTAACTCGTATTTGTCATACCCTCAGCTAAGTTAGGATTTGTTCTACTGAAATTGTCATTCGCTAAAGTGAATTTATTATTTTCTATAAGCCAGCTTGTCATTTGACTGAATTTCAATATGATTTCATATTTACAAAAGTGAGATCGGGTCCTTATTTATTATTTTTGAAATAAGAATCCTAAATTATAATTTTACATATTAAAGAGTCGTTATTTTAGTAGTTTTTTATAAAAAAAACTAAAAATTACTAAAGTTAGTGTTATTTAACATTTAGAATTTTTTTTTCTCAAATAATAATAGGCATTGAAGTTGCCAGTACTTACGAGGGGGAGCAAGCGTTCGGCGCGTCGTTGACGCTGCAGGGGAAGGAGCCCAGGAGGACATGCTGGGGGCGAGGTTTTTTTTTTTCAGTTGTTTGGGTTTGGCCCTCCTCTTTGTACCCAAAAAAACATAATGATCTTTTTTGTTTATATAATTTAAATTTAAATTTGATTCTATTTATAACTCAATTCCTATTTTTAACTCAGTATAAATTAAATTCTGACCCAATGTAACTTAATGCCTATTTGTTTCAAATTAAAATTTTAATTGGTTAACTTACATGAACTAAATTGCATTTGATTAAAATTTGGGGATAATTTGTATTTAAAAAAATAATAGGGACAAGTTATAATCTGAGCCAAGATGATAGAATTAATTGAGGGGTATTTGAATAGATTTTAAAGAAAATTTATTTTGAAAATAAATTTTGGAAGAACAAATTTTATAAATATATTTTTTGCCAACATAATAAATAATATATAAAAATAGAATTAATTAATAATTAATATATGTATATATATTTATTTGTATATATATTTATAAAATATAAGATTAAATATGTTTTTAAAAAAATAATTATTTTTTCTGTCAACAGAAGAATAGTATTTTACCTCAAAGATTTTAAATATGAAATCTCATAATATATTTTTACAAAATTGAATAAACATACATGAAAAAAAATATTAATTATACAACTAATTAATAATTGCAATGTGTATATAAAGTATAAGATTAAATAATCAAGCGTGATAATAATTGTGAGGTGGCAACAATATACAACATTTGTAAGTTAGTTCTTGTTTTTTAACAATATATTATTTCTGATCTTTAATATAAAAGCTAATTTGACATGCAATTTGATTTTAAATATAAAATTTCAATCTACTTTATTTCTCATATTTATTTTTTTCAGAATAGTTCTTGCTGTGTAGAAGCACACATGTTAAATATTTCATCAAATAGTACTTTTAACTAATACATATAATTAGCAAGGTATTTTAGAAAAGACAATATCTATTTATTATAAATAATTAACTTAACTATTTTTTAACTTATTCAAATTAGTTAACCTAATTCTTATATTAAAGACTTATTGCAATCTAGGGGGAAAAAAAAAGAGGCCACGTGTAACCCTTCAAGAAGCAAAATTTTGGTTTCATAAAATAGTGATTTAGGTGGGCCAAACCATAGTTTCATAAAAAATAGAAGGCGTTTGGCAATTTCTTGGGCAAATAATAATTTTGGGCTCCGAACGTATTCTGGGTAGTTTGCCAAGCAGCATGAGTTATGAAGACTGAGTTATAATAAGATTTAAAAAAAAATAAATTTTAAAAAAAATTTAGGTAGAATTGCAACTAAGTATAAAAAATTATTAAAAAATCTTAATAACATCTTAAACAATTTGTAATGATAAGTCCCAGAATAAAAAAATTATAATTTCAATCTTGTTATTAGGATTTCTTAGTAATTTTTTATTGGAGCTTATTGTAGGAAGGGAATCGATGCAGAAAATTGAGGATGAGATTAGAGGGAAGAAATCTTTGGAGGAGATAACATAGGTTACTTGGATATTGGTTGGATCTCCTACTGGCTCCCTGTTTGGGAACAAGTTGGGTCCTTTCAGATTTTAGACCCTTCGAAATTCCCAGCTATTACTGCTTGGATTGCCAATTTTCTCAGTCATCGCATTATCAAGGATGCCTTGCCCCCAAGAAATGAGCTCCTCCTTTATTACCAACACCGCAGATCTCAACTGTCTTCTGGTCATCAGGGCTAGCTACTTCAACCTTTATTCGCTCTGGCTGCCGATGAAGAAAAATAAGAGAAACAAGAGAGACGTGTATATACATCAAGTGTGTATCAATACAAGTCTTTGACGCATGCTGAATCAAGGTGAAATTTTCCTCAAAGTGTTAAATATTGCTTTATATACATATTACTCTACATACGTTGTCTAAACTGATTGAGCCCTTTACATGTTCTATTTTAATTGGCATGGACAGCGTATTACCTCAACATTCACTGAACCCAAACAGACATTGGGCCCGTTTGGATGAGCGATTGGAAAAGCTACTTATTGGAAAAGCAGCTTATGGATAAGTGAAATGGGATATAAGCTAAATTGAATAAGCTGAATTGTGTTTGGATTGGAGTTCAGAAAAGCCCGTTTGCAAAAGTAAAATGGATAAAAAGCTGTTTGGATTATGGTTGAGTAAAAGTAAGTTTGGTTGTAAAATGACTAAAATGGGTATGAGTTTTAATAAATAGTAAAAAATAGGAAAAAAATAATTTCACATAATACAATGGAATTAAAATAATTTAATACGAATAAGTGAATTAAATTTTTAAAATTTAGAGAAATCTAAAAATTATTTTAAATATAAAGTGAAAGAAGGAAAAAATCGAATAGAGATAATATAATGATGAAGTAAAATTTATTTAGTGAATTAGAATTACGAACTGTAGAGAAATCATAAAAAATATTTAAGAAACGAAGTGCAACATGATAAAAAAAAAATAACATAATACAATAAATTTAAATTAATTTAATACGAAGAAGTCAACTAAACATAATTTAAATGGATAACAAAGTTTTGAACTCCAATTGACAAAGTAAAATAAAATAATATGACATAATTAATTATTTGATAAACTATGAACCAAGCCTCCACATAATTATTGATAAACTATGAACTCCAATTAACCACGCCTCCACGCGCTGGCTCATAACCAAGCCGCTGGTCTGCTTTATCCGCAATTGCCATGTCATGGTACTGGACCGAATCATACGGCCTAGACCGATCTGCTCCATGCTCATAGATCGGACCGGTCACCGAAACTTTCTAGGGCGTTTGACTCAGTAGCCCACAGAATCATTTTCCTGCGAAACCTTCGAGAGAGCCACACCCAAGTTGCTTCCTGTCACGGAGGAGACGCGACGAAGCTCACGGCAAGTCTCGGTGGTTCTGGGGACGGAGGATGAGGGGAGGCAGCTCGCGTGAAGGACCAGGCTTTCGGTCACTCCAAGCCACACCCAACACGAGGACCTCACGGCGGAGACGCGACGCAGCTCACGGCAACTCTCGGTGGTCTGACGACAACGCGACGGAGGAGGCAGGATGAGGGGTCGCCGGTCGGGTAGAAGGGAGAGCAGATGGGAAAGAAGAAAAGAAAGAACGAAGACTCCAGGAAGAAAAGAAAGACCGAAGACGCGAAAGAAAGGCCGAAGACTTCAGCAAAAAAAAAAAGAGGACCGGCTGATAGGATCCCAACGGTAAAAATAAAGCTTATCTGATTCAATAAGCCATAAAAATTGGCTTGGGCCAGAACGTGCGTTGAGGAGCTTAAAATTCATAAGCCACTTTTTTTTCCAAGCCCATCCAAACAGCATCTGAATTCCAATCGGGCTTATGCTGATTTTAAGCTACTTATAAGCTCATCAGAAGCCCAACCAAACAGACCCATTATATAATATTAGAGAAAGGTGGGAACAAAACACAAATGCATTCACATAGTTACAAGAGCAGCATAGTTGACTATAGTGGGACAACCACAGAGTAGACAGCAAACTATAGGCTAGCTAGCCTAGAAAGTACATCCGATCGGTCCGTCGGAGACTCGGAGCTTATTCCTTACTTTACATAAAATTAACTAGTAACTAATTAAGTCGGTGACCAAGATTGTGCGGGGCTGATAAAGGTGAGCTCTTTTCTAGTGTTCTTCAAGCCCATCACCTCCTCCCTGTTCATGAGAAACGAGTTCATCAGAACAGCATCAGGCATGGCGTGGACGAGGGACAGCTCTCCGGCCAGCGGGTTGATCATCGGGTTATCATTGGTTTTAATGGCCACCCAGTCAAATGCGTGCGCCCCGCCCTTCTTCACAACCACATAGTGCTGTGGGACCACCAACACTTGACCTTCTTTCACCTCTCCGTCGAACAACATCCGCCCATTCTCTCCCACCACCTGAAGCCACCCGCTGCCCCTCGTGCAGTATATCACCGCGTGACAGTTCAAATTACAGTGAGGCACCATGATAGCATCCTGCACGCAAAAACATTTAATCTCACTTTTCCTCGTTGCGAGTACGAGGAACTAGCCCCTTGTATGTTGATTTTGCTTCAAATTATATACTACCTCCTATCCTAATTATAAGCACCTCTTTTTCAGATTATAGGCAATATAATTTTACCTCGTAGAGGACACCCCGGTCTACACCAAGTTGGAGGTGTTCAAGGATGGGCATGTTGGGAGTGTTAAGGCTGGTGAGGTGACCTCCACGTGGGTTATATTTATCTGCATGCATTCTGGGTTCGCCTAGTGGATGCACATATGCGAGAGAACACAATGTTTCCTCCACTCCGTTAGCGGTACTTGAACTACGATGTCGTTTCTCTCTCTCCCTCTCTTCCTCCTCTTGTTCTGGGGACAGCCACCCAAGGCCATCCTCCACCAAGATGATGGCACCTCTTGAATCCTTAATGCCCTGAACCTTGTCGGCGAGCTCAGTGGCTATGTTCAAAGAGTTGGCCACCGTCTCCGGCGCCAACCCGCTGAACACGTTGCCTCCTGACCTTTCGGCTTTCTGCTGCCATTCTCTGTGGTTCCAGCCCCATCTCTTGCTCCGGTTGCTGCTTTTCGGCTCTTCTTGTGGATTCCCACCAAGGAAGAAACTCTGTAATTTGTCAAATTAATCAGCACCAAGATTCCAAAAACCAAACCTCTTACCTGCATCGCTATTATAACTTAGCATATGGTATACTTCGGTAATTACGGAGTGAGAATCCATTTCCTGTATATGACAAACTTAAGTATATCATTAGAGTTTTCTGATGGAAAAAAAAATCTGAACTTTCTAGGACCCCCTTGCATAACTCATTTCCTGTATATGACAAACTTAAGTATATCATTAGAGTTTTCTGATGGAAAAAAAAATCTGAACTTTCTAGGACCCCCTTGCATAACTCTTTTCAATATACCATTATCCTATAAATACTCAGTTCAATATTTAAAAAATATAATAACCTACACCTTCATCACTAGCTACATATGAATGTATTTTAGATCTCGTATAATATATTAAAAAATGTCTTTTTTTAATATCGATCTTAAAAAAAATGCCCTCCCCGAGTCAATTCTTCAAATGGAGTACAGCTATATGAAAAGTCGTTTCAGTTAATGAAAATTTTTACTTTTCTCAATACTATATTTTAATTAGGATTAGTTTCGTTGAATAAAAGAACAAGACTTGTAGTCTTTGCATCTATATTGAGAACGATGGATGTATTTCAATCCTCAATTTGACGCACAGTAATTAACAATCTTTATAAAGATTAATACGAAAATCAAAGTATCATGCATGGTACCCGAAATGTGAGATCGAGCTGATTCATTTTATTGGCAGTGTGGATGAGTGAGAACAGAACAAGGTCGTCGGAGTCGCCGGTGTTGTAAAACCACTGAGCCGAGCTAGATGGCACAGCAACGGCGTCGTCTTGCTGGATCGCATTGATCTTCTGGTGCTCATCTGATTGGGATCTATACGATTCCCTACATCCCGCTACGATCGTTTCCTGGACACCCCTCCCTGCGCACATTTATAATAATGCCCATAATGAATTAAAATCAATTTCTGCTAAAATACTGCTACCTAAGACCTCGTTTATCGGAGCCAATGATATTACTAATAGCTATATAAACGAACGAACATCACAAATCACAACATGACAGTTGTTTTGAAACCAAGAAGATGAAGAGTGGGACCTTTGAGTACGTAGTGGATCCTGGGAACATTAGTGTAGAAAGGCAAAAGCAAGCCCTTGGGTCTAATGGTGTATCGGACTAAGGCCACACCAACACAACGAAGTTGCTCATTGTGGTCATCCCAGTACTCTATCTTCCCACCTTCCGACTCAACCACCCTGCTGGGTTCCAGAACGATAAGCCTCTCCAGGCTGCACTTTCTGTAATGAAACTCCTCTGTTTCTTCACCGGCCAACGTCGAACAACTTTGAGTTATAACAAGCAAGGCAATGCTCAAGAAAAGCAACGAGGAGAATGCCATGTCTAAATCTGTGAGAGAAACAACACAAAAAGCTCAAACAGAGCACATTTATGCTGAAGAGAATGAGGACCGCCACCGCCTGACCAGTATTTACTGATACGCGCATTAATTATTGCGAATTCGCAATGATGAGAGAGTTCTTGAATCTGCAAGCAAAATTATCAACCTGATAACCTCCTGCTGGGTAGGTATGAATTATTAAGGTTTCGGGACTTGAGGATATTCGAGTGTTGAGGTCTTTGTGGAGCTCGTTAGCTGCATGGCTGTGATACTCACAATTTGGTAACACGTAGTTTTATTCTGCAGAATATGTGGCATTTATCTGCCATGCATATGCTACAATGATGGAGGATGGAGTTTTAAGTTTGTGCTTTGGAAGCTTCTCCCTTTTGCAGTGTGCGAGCATCTGAACAGTATGTTAATGGAGGAAGATGATATCATGAGTTTGGACATTAATTCATGGTCAGGAAATCGATACCAGAAGTACTGAACTATTTCTTTCGTTCTAAATGTAAAATCCTTATACACTAGTACAAGGGTTTTATATTTAGGATTGGAGGAGTACTATTTCTTTTTAGAATTAGAATAAGTCTCTATGAACTTTTGTATTCTAAACAATTTTATATAAACTAAATATTATACAGTTAAATATGATCATTTTCCTCAAAATTATTATACGATTCTTTTTGCATATATTAATTAATATGATAATTAATTGAATCATAGTTCCGTGCTAATTAATAGCTACATAAAACAAATGACTTAGTTTTGGGTTTAGATCGTTTTATAACACAATGGATTATTTTACGCAGAACGCTTATTCTTCAAGTTTAAGTACATATTCAAATTGAAATAGTAAGCAATAACCATGTTTTGTTGATTCGCAACAGTTAAAAAAGTTGTATTAAAAATTGAAAATATTCTGAGAGGCTTTGCTTAATTTTATTCCAAATTTAAGGATATAGTCTGATATAATTAACTAAGATGATCATGCATTAAATATAGTAATATTGCGCAATTCAGTTCAAATTTATTTTTCCCCAGATAATGGAGGTTGAATTCATTCAAAACTAGTGAGAAATTATAAAATGGTATTGAATTTTCTCCCAATCCGAATCTTTCTTTTCTAACCTTTTAATTTATGTACTGGGAGAGAATCCCTTTACTATACACATCTTTTTTGTTTTTTTGGATTAATACAAATTTTTGTTTATAATGTTTGCCTTTCCCTCAACTTTTAAATTATATAGATTTTAGTTTCTTAAATTTTTTTATTTAAAATATTGATCCATATAATGTAATAAAAATTTAGATTATTTTATCTTTTCAGAGACCAAAGCTTAAAAAATCAGAAACAAAATGATAGATCAAAAGTTATATTATTATTATTATTATTATTTTTTTTTTTTTTGCGGTAAAGAAAGAGGGACCAAGCCCAAAACACTACCCCGCGTCAGACCTTCCTGCTCCCTTCCAACGTGGCTTCTTCTTCCACTTCGTAACTAGTCTTCTTCGCACATCTTTTTTGTTTTTAATTGCAAGACAAAATTCTTATACAACAAAAATATGAATAATGGAAGAAGTTCAAACAATAATCATAGGTAGGCCAACAAAATGATGGTATCATGACAGTTGGATTTTAAATTTACGAGGTCTAGCTAACCGCGTAGCACCAGGTTTGTAGGTGAGAAAATTGCTCAATTAATTCAATTTGCAGAAATTAAATATTTACTGTTTAATATTTACTTCTAAAGGAGCACGTATGCACGCAAGAAGAAAGTATTTGAGGCGTTGATCCAAACGGGTGAAATATCTCCCACTGTAACATATGATTAACCAATAGTTACTGTCTTGTAAAACTGCCGGGTGATTAGGCTTTGATATGATATTCGGTGATATTGTTATTGTTTAAATCGTGCTTATACATAGCATTCCAAAGGTGAGAGAGAGCAATTAATTGAGAAAAATCGAATAAACGCATAGGATTCACAGGCAGCAGAATAGTTATTTGGCTTAGAATAACTAAATCCGACCGCTCCGGACCAGCAGGGAAAACCAAAAAGCTTAGCCTCCATTATCGACATCAGCTACGTACTATCTAGCTAGGAGGACTTTAGTGCTTTATTCCTTAATTATACATGCAAACCTAGGGTTCAGTAATTAATATGAACTCGCTTGTGATGACTTCTGCCTTGGGCTTAGCAGAGTGAGTTCCCTTCTCTTCTTTAATTGCTTCACTTCCTCTATGGTAAGACGATAGGAATGCATCAACACAGCATCTGGCATGCTCCTTATCAGAGACAGCTCCCCTGCGAGAGCCTCCATCATTGGGTTGTCATTTGTTTTCACTGCTATCCAACCAAACCCTTCACTTCCCGCCTTCTTCACCACCACAAAGTGCTGTGGCACTATCAGAATCTGCCCCTCCCTCACCTCCCCGTCGAACACTTTCTCGCCGTTCTCCGCCACCACCTCAATCCAGCACCTCCCCTCTGTCCCGTATATCACCGTGTGACAGTTCAAATTGTGGTGTGGCACAATCATCGCATCCTGCAATTATATATATGTGTATGTGTATATATATGTTTGTTGGCATAAGAACACAAAATACTGTAGGATGTTATCATTACCTGATAGAGGACGCCTCGATCAACGCCAAGTTGGACGTATTTAAGAACAGGAAGGTTGGGAGTGTTGAGGCCAGTCAAGAATCCAGCTCGTGGATTGTATTTATCTGCATCTGTGGCCTCAGCTAGTTGGTGCACAAGTCTCAGAGTACACATAGTTTCTTCTAATCCATTCTCTCTCCCACCACCACCTTCTTGTTCTTCTTCTTCTTCTTGCGAAGGGCTTAATACGTCAAGCCCACCTTCAACTAGGACGATGGAACCTCTTGGGTCATCCAGACCCCGAACCTTCGTCGCTAGTTCATCATTAACATCGAATGTCACTTTCACCGTCTGTTGTGCCAGCCCACTGAACACATTGCTCCCGTCGCCTTCTCGCTCCTCTTTTGGGTTTCCGGCGAGGAAGAATTTCTGTGTTTGGATGATAGAATATCAAAATTTTAACTATAAGCCTAAAAGGGTACTTGTACAAGTTAATTTTCCAGATTTTGCTAATATTTTCGGTTAGTGCGTAGAGACACACGCACGCGCACACAAGAGCTTACCCTGACTTTGAGATCCAACTGGTTATCCCCGTTGGCGGAGTCTATGAGAGAAAACAGAACCAGATCAGTTTCTCCGGTGTTATAAATCCATTGAGCAGCGCCAGCTGGTACGACTATAACATCGCCCTCTCTTGTAACATGGATCTTCTGGTGCATGTCTCCTTCATATGCTTCTTCTCGAAACGTTTGACGACAACCTGGTATCACTGTTTCCAAGATACCCTTTCCTGCAATATTCACCGTAGCAGTGTGTCATTTCAAATAGGTCACATGGTCCCACAACACTCTTATTCTTCCATAGGTAGAATTTTAATACATATAACACATGAAAGCAAAAAACAAGAGGAGCAAGGATAGAGGCCTTGGAGCACATAGTGGAGCCTTGGGGCGTTGATGTAGAGAGGCAACAATAAGCCTTTGGGTTTGATGGTATAGCGAAGGGCAGCCACACCAACACATTGAAGCTGCGCATCGTTGGAGTCCCAATACTCAGTGAAACCACCTTCAGACTCAACAAGCTTGGTGGGTTCGAGTGTGGTCAGTTTCTGAAAGCAACACTCGGCTGGGTTACTTTGCAACAGAGCAAAGCAGCCATGGAAAAGAACAAGATACCCAAGGCTTAGGGAAACCAGCGAAGGAGAGGCCATAATAGAAGGGAAAAGAAGAAGAACAAGACAAGGTCAAATGTTACTGAGGTGGATGTGGACCAACTGTAGGGTTGTATTTATAAGACAAAAAGTACAGGTTTGTGTCTTGGAATGCGATAGAATGATGAGAGTAGTTGGTTGCTGAGGTTTATGTTGCTTATTCGTCGCATGGCTGCAAATGCCTCGAGTGCTAACACATAGTGCTGGTTTTCTGAAAAGTGAGTAAATTATCTGATTGATGTTCTGGAATGTTTGTGATTGTTCTATATCCCTGTACTGCGATTCTCGATCAATAAAACAACACAGAATATAGCAAAGCCCTAGATACACCAGGTATATATTGGCAATCTTTAATACGTGGTGGGTGATCCAGTATGATGTGAAGATAATTATCAAAAGAGAATGTCAAGATTCCAGATTGCAAGGAGGAGACAATGGAATTTTATATTTGGTTTTCTGTTATACTTAGGCTAGTTTAGGTTTAAAAGGGAAGAAAAATAGGGAACTCTCAGCAGCTTTCCTAACCAAACGCGGTGTCTTTCGCACCTTTAATTCCAGACTGTGAAAATATTTTCGCCTTCATGATAAATGTAGGGTGGAACCCCCCCCCCCCAACGTGCTCATAAAAATGGATTTCCTCTATTCATTTTTTTAAAAAAAATTCCTCCCATCTCATTTCAAGTTTTAGATTAAAAAAATGAACAGTTGAGATGTAATATCTAATAAAATTTTTATTATAATATTACATAACATAAATAATATATGAGTAAATTTAAAACCATTAAAATTTGATTCCAACCGTTATTAGCTAAAGGGTACCAGAAAATTAAATAATAAGAATTTTATAAAATGTATTTTGAGACCCGATTATTTTTTTTATGCAGTAATAACGACAAAAATGAAGTAGACAAGAAAAATTTAGTTATTTATTGCTCCTTCTTTCTTAAATATAAAACTTATTAATTATAATATAAAATGAATCGAGGGAGAGGAAAGTACTTTTGTCATAATCTAGTTGATAACCAATTAACTATGTGTCACCCATTTCCTCAAAGGCTCCACAAGCAAAGTCATAGTAAAACGTTTGGCTGGAAAAGGTCGGCGCCCGAGCAAAATAACGTCCCACGTAAGGGAACGAGTTTCGGTGCGAAGCGGCTTGATGAGCACGAGTAGCTCATCACCACGGCACACCGTTTCATTAAGGTTATGAATGCTCTTAACCGTTCGATGATGAGCGATAATTTTTCATTAAAGTTATGAATGATCTTAACCGTTCAATGATGGGTGATAATGACTGCTTGTTGCGGATAAAAATTCTGAAGTCATGGACCGTTTCAATCCTCTCTCTTCTTCTTCAGGATGTTTTCATGTGCGGCTAAGCTAAATTTCTAATCAAGCGATTGAAGAAATGAGAGAGGGAGGAAGGAAGTAGGGGGCTAATGATTGTGACTTTTGCTCCTTATTTCACAAAATCTTTGGAGCCAATGTCAACAAAATGCTTCAAGTTTCTTCATCTCCTTGTTAATTCTGTTCTCCTGCACTTCATCTCTTTCGAAAGACACACTGGTTGGTGGTTAATGTCAACAACCAGGGTGAACAAGCACTACCCCAATCCCATCCAAATGGCTACTCTTTTGCTCTTCTCTTGACTAAAATCGGATAAACTAACATACCCGAATCATTTTTACTTTTCATGATCTCTCCTTTGCTAAAACTTCGTGGCAAACTGGAAACCGATCAATTGTATTTTTAGCCCAATCACTCACAAATTCAACATCCAAAAAACCAGATCAGTAAAAAGAACAATAAGCAGATAAAAGAGATCAACAATTTGAAACCCGTCAATTAGCAAGTGAAGAATGTCCCTAAGTGAGCGTAGGTTTGAAGGATCTTGCTGGATAGTTTGGGTGCAAAGTGCTGTGGCTTTGAGATACTTCTCTAACTTTAAAAAAAAAACTCATTACCCTGATCTGTCAGAGATATTTTTTCTCCTTCTGCTGAAGCTGGGGAGTTGCCATTGGTATTCATCTTCAAATAGAAGAGACTCAACTGCGAAAATTTGGAGCTTGCTCATTATTTGAAAAAAACAAAAAAAGGTTGGAACTTGCCTTGCTAAGCGTTTTCTCTTCCTTCAGATAAAGAAAAATAATATCGTGAGCACAAATTTACAGATCCCAGCAAAACGACGTTGCTTGGCCACTGAATGATTATTAAAACGGTGCGCATAAATGATGAGCTCTTGGTGCTCATCATTATGCTTAGCATGGAAACTGAGTCCCCACGTAAGAGCTATTTATAGTTTTTATTCCCAGAAGAAAAAAATGACGGCCACGTGTGCCTGTAGTTAGCACTCAGCCTTTTAACACTCTAGTGATAACCCTCGCCACTCTCATATTCCAGGGGAGGAAAGCCGGGGACGTGTCGTGCCCACTGCTCAGTGTTCATCGTTAGGCAAAGCGGACGATAAGGCCGAGCTGGGAGCGCCCTTGCCATGGCCACGTCGTCGCCCTTCTCTCTAATTCCTGCTTCTTCCTGCCAGAAAACTCCTGCCCCTTGTCGTCGTCTAAAACTACCATGGCCCCTAAAGACTAGAATTTCGAGGTTTCCGAAGTCCACACCAAACACCATTGTCCGTGCCACGTTTGGCCAGAAGAACGCATTACAGTACAGGAAGCTTGGCGACTCTGACCTTAACATCAGCGAAATCACTCTTGGCACTGTAAGTATTTTTGGGTTTCCTTTAGTGAGTGTGACTTCTTTTCATAAGATAGAATTGGTAGAATAGCGATTGGAAAGCTTCACTTGTGTCTATTCCATGAAATTCCGAAGTTCCTTCTGTGTAACAGCGATTTAGTGAGCTGCATTGCCGAGGTGTCTTCGATTCATATCTCAGTTTCTACTTGACTTGACTTGACTCTTGGAGCAAAATCTGTGTGTAATAGACTGCTTTCCTACGTTACTGTCCTATGAAAAAGGAAAGGTTGAATATTCTTTTAGTTCAAGAAATGTTAAAATCCTGTGGCTTGGAAACTATCATGATTTATCTTTCTTCAATTGAGTATGCTTGATGGTTGATCTTGACAAAACCCACTCGAAGAAAAGGCTATGCTTGTTAGCATTTGAATGCCAACAAAAAAGGGGAAGGAAAAAAAGAAAAAGAAAAAAGAAGAGGGATGCATAGTTCTCAGACCTGAACGTGCCTCTTAATGTCATTTCTACATATTGGTGAGGCTCGAATATCAAGTCAATTACATTGGCCGTTTACTCAAAAGAAATATTGCGTGAACAAGTGCGTTAAGTTATCATACTTGAGGTGAAGTTTTATATAAGTTGACATTATAATTTTGATTTCTTATTCACTATGGCTTTCAAGATAGCGGCTCCATCCTACCTAAAATAATTGGACTAGCCCGAGGAATGGATTGATATTCTTACCGATTAAAAAGGATTACAATAGTTTTATGCTTTTGTCATAATGTCAAAGAATCAGCAACTTGTTAAACAAAGCCAAAAGTCAAATGCTCGCGGATTTCCAGAGGAAAAGAAACAGGGAGGATAGATGAAGCATCGAATGGAAATCTAAGACATGAATGTCACGTAACTTCTCAAGGAAAAGAAAATCAAGAATTGGCTTAAGAAATGATCAAGCGGACAGTTTTTGTTTGGGTTGATGCCTAGTAGAACGTAATTTGTTCTGCTTCAGATCTCTACTTCCTAAAAGTCTTTCAGCCTCATTAGCCAGTGCTAGATTGGTAGAAAAAATTTCTTCCTCAAATTCCTTTTCACTGAATAGCAAAATATGCTTCTTTTTCACCTATATTCATTGCACCTTGGAAGCCCTGTTGCACCATAAATATGTAACATGAGTGGTTTGTGACACTAGTCTATGTAGCTACTGATTTAATGTCATATGTGCATTTATCTATTTATTCATTGGCAAGTCTGAATCATTTGATCAATCACACTTTGCAGAATTACGTTTTACTGCTTTCCCAATTGACCTTTTACTCATGCTACTCCCATTCTTTTGATTGTTCTCGTATGGTATATGAGTAACTTAGTTTTGCAACTTGCATATCCCATATTTCCCTGCTAGCAGTTTGATGTCACTATATTTTGTGGCATCCTGTCTGGTTGTTGATGGTTGATTCCTGTAACATTTCAGATGACATTTGGGGAACAGAATACCGAGAAAGAAGCTCATGATATGCTTAGCTATGCGTTTGAGCATGGCATTAATGCTCTAGATACTGCTGAAATTGTATGTTCTTCAAGTCTGATGTGCATCTACTTCCTATGTGTGCTCACTCTCACGCAAAAACATATCTATTGTTCAACTGGAGTCCATGAATGTGCTTAAGTAATTGTACTTTGTTTTAATATTTTTCTCATCTTTTAGTTGCTCTCCACGTATAATTTCAGTTGAATCAAACATGGAAGATTCACCAACTGGACCCTTTGGAACATATGATTAAAGCTTACTATTTACTAATATTGTAATTGTAATCGAAAAATTATCATGAGATCAACAACACTATCAAGGTCTACAGCACATATTCCTTAGGGTTAGGGGATTAGGAATTCAGATGCACAGACCCATCAACTTCATTCTCGGCCTCTTGCTGTTTAGGGGATTAGGAATTCAGATGCACAGACCCATCAACTTCATTCTCGGCCTCTTGCTGTTTTACATTTTTCACTGATTTGCATTTGTAGAACCCATCTGGCAGGGATTTATCTTAGCTACAGATTTTCTTTTGGATCTTTTCCGTGCCCTCAGGTCTATTCAAATTCATTGTTTCAATAAAGCATAATCATTTTTTGTTTTCTCAGGTACTCGTACCTTTTTCTGATTCCTGGCAGAAGTTTATGCTGTCTCATTCTAAAAGTTTGAACTTTGATTTTAGATGAAAAAATAATTGAAAAACCTATGTATCCTCTATTTTCACCATTGCAACTGAATTGTTCTCTTTACGTAACCATGTTAGATTTTCCAGTGACAGTTACAGTTCTGATAAAAATTGCTTCTATTGCAGTTTTCCACTTACAAATGGCTTGCAATCCACCATTTTTAGCCAGACTAACAATTAGACATTATTTTGTAGTATCCAGTTCCACCGAAGCAAGAGACACAAGGAAGAACAGATCTCTATATTGGTAGCTGGATGAAGTCTCAATCTCGCGACAAGGTATTGGGCGCTCAGCTAACAACTATCTTATTAATTTTCACATGTGCTCTTCTCACGTAGGCTGTTGGCTTGCTGCAACCACTATGCCTTGATTACTTCCTGTGTGGAACGACTCATTTGAGCCTTGACAGTAACTCTTAATAGTAATATTATCTCTACAGAATATGTTCCATTTTAATTAGTTTTGCAAACTATTATATAATAGAATGATTTATTGCAAGTATGAATTGGTGCATTATTACGCTTTACAAGCCATCTTGATTTCAATCTTGAGATCTGGATATAGGTCTTCTTTTGAAAGATATAATTTGAAGCTTAAGACTATTGTGATCCGTGTTTGTTGATAGATTATTTTAGCAACAAAAGTAAGTGGTTATTCTGAGCGGACAACCTATCTTCGTGACAATGCAAAAGTTGTGCGGGTTGATGCTTCAAATATTAGAGAAAGTGTCGAGAAAAGTCTCAAGCGCCTTGGCACTGATTATATTGATTTGTTGCAAATTCACTGGTAAGTATACAGAGTGTAAGTTCTTAAATCATGCTTACTTTTTCTTTATTTTTTTATAATATGTATTCTTGGCAATGACTACCTATGGGGGCTGCTATTTTCTTTCAATGTCTATGCATTAGTTTCTTTATTTTTGATCCACTCAGATCAGTGTATTAGACTATGCAGCATTAGGATAGTGCATGTGTGCCTTATTTAAAGTTACATAATAATAAGTGGCACAAACTGTTTTCGTGTTTATTTGATCATGTGAATTGTTAAAGAAAATGAAAGATGTGCACAGAAAAATGTCTTTTTTATTACTGATAATGTGAGTGGTGATGGCATGTAAAATTCCTTGGCCAAATATTTTCCCCTTCTATCATATAAAAAATTAAAACATTCTTCAGCAAAAATTTTTATGGCACCAGAGAAGCTGCTTTATAATTTGGGAAGCTAAATTAGAAATTTTTAAGCTAATGGCCTTATTAAGAATGTGCTGATCTCTTTTATGTTTCACTGAAGGCCAGATCGCCATGTAGGATTGTTTGGATCTTCCTATGACCCTTCAAAATGGAGGCCCAGTGTTCCGTTTGTGGAACAACTGCAAGCTTTTCAAGAACTTATTAATGAGGGAAAGGTGATTGATTTCTATTTATGTTTTTTTTTCTAGTTGTTTAACAGCATCTTGACAAATAAAGTTAACTTTCATTTGGAAGACTGGGGTAATTTTTCTGTTAAAATGTGTTATTTCTGAAACAATGAGCTATAGTGAATCTTAGTTTCAATTGGTCTGTTTTAGTGACACTTTGATAGAAAATTGGAACTGAGGAGTGATGGAAATACTTATGTTAGGCTGAAGAGATATGTAGAAGGAAGTTTGAGTTTTAGCAGTTAGGTTTTTTGAATGATGGAAGTTGTCATTGGCATTAGTTAGCCCCAGTTACAAATAAGCTGTGCAAACCATTGAGAGGTTACTTTTCTGCATGGGCTTGTGCCTGGGTTTATTCAATTTGTTACCAAGGTATTCTAAGCGACTTGGTTGGTGTTGTCACAATTTTATACGCTGAGACTGCTAACAAGGCTTATCTCCCACACTCCCAACTCCCAAGCTAATTTTCTGTATAAGCGTGTGCTTACTGCTTAGGCTTATCTATTTCACCAATATAGCTTAAACTACTTAGTTAGGAATGGAACATGCTTATACATGAAGACTTTTCTCAAGGCTTATCTCTAACAGAAGGCTGTGACTAATGATCTGAGTTTCTTTCTTTTTTTCCTTTTCTTTTTTTTGCTTTTTTTGGGGGGGGGGGGTGTGTTCTGGATGATCTAAGTTAATTCTCTCAAATTCTCTCTTTCCTCTTACTCCCTATCAGGCTCTGATCACATTGTCATGTGCGTTCTATCATGCATGTTTTTAGCAGATATTTGAGATAGGAGATTTTTTTTATATGAATCAGGTGCGCTACATTGGCGTATCTAATGAGACCTCGTATGGAGTGATGGAGTTTGTCCATGCAGCTAAAGTTGAAGGGCTTCCAAAGATTGTCAGTATCCAAAACAGCTATAGTTTGCTTGTTAGATGCAATTTTGAAGGTAAGTCCCTGTCTGACAGGAATCCTATGTCATTCATATGACATATATCATTTGCGTTACCTTCTCCATCGAGTAACTACTATATCTTGCAACAAAAGCCACGCAGCATAGGCCATCAGGGGGGAAGAACATAACATGGCATAACCATAGGAAGCAATATTACGTTGTTCCTAAACAGGCCCCAAAAGAATGGTTCGTTTTGCATCTGCATCATCGATTATGCTGATTGCACTTGTTGAAACTTATATGCTTTAAATGGAGACTTGATTCTGTAAATAACGACTAAAAATAGGCAAGAGGCTTGGTTCTATTTAACTACCAACACAATTAGTTTCTCCCGGAAATACGCTACCTGCGGTGGAAAATTGAAGATGGAAAGAAAAATGCTACAAAAGAGGATGAATTGGGCTTCGATCCAGTGATAACTTCTTTATTTTCTTTTCTGTTTTTGCGGGAAAAGTGGGGTGGAGAACACAAAAACAAATACTCCTTCGGTCCTTAATGTAGGAGCTAATTAGGGAGTTGATGTTGGTCCTATATGTAAGGCCTATTTCACATGTTGATATTCCCCCAATAATAATCAAGTAAGAGAGGGAGGGACTGAGAGAGGGAGGGAGGGAATTGAGAAAAATGCTTAAGGTATTTTAGAAAAAAACGTATCATATTAACTAGTTTAACTAATATCTTTAATTTACTTAAATTAATTAATTAGGTCTTATATTAAAGACTGGAAGAGTAGTAATCAACCATATGTAACTCGCTAAGATTAGATAACCAACTGAACTGGGTATGTGTATATATTTCATGCCTTTTAAGAACGTGAAATGAGAGTCTAGTTCAATGTCTAGTCTATTCTAAATTGTATCGTCCTTCGATGTTTATGAATCTGAATGTTTAGAACAAAGGCAGTAAGTGGCAAGACTTGATAATGTGCTCTTCAAAGGATTTATTTCACGTACTCATGCGCATGCAAAGTCACATTTACTCAATTGCCATCTTTTGTGCTCTCTGTATGACCAGATTTTTGGATCCCTCTGGCTTCAACAAATATGAAGTCCAAATACTTCGTTGGAAGATTGTTATATCTCCAACCTAAAGCTGGTGTAAATTCAAGTATCTAATAACACAATAATGTTGAACTATAAAATATATTGTATCATCTGGCGTACCACTACAATTCCCAAAATTTAACTCGGAGCTGCTTCAATTTAGAACGCATGCCTTGGAAATTTCCTTTAAAAAAAAAAATTCTGATCAATTCCGGTTGTGTAGCCTTACCATGAAACTGATAAACGAACCTTGTAAACGCTTGTTCCAAACTCAGATTCTGACAGCATTACAAGATATTACAACTTCAGGCCAAAAAAATATATATATATTTTCCTAGTCTAAATACTTAATTATTCATTCTTGACCATATCCGTTTTTTTCGCCTTAATGACTTTTGAATTTTTCCTTTCTCTTCGTCTGATTTATTGCAGTTGATCTTGTGGAAGTTTGCCACCCAAAAAATTGCAATATAGGCTTGCTAGCCTATTCCCCTCTAGGTGGTGGATCACTGACAGGAAAATATATTGATATAAATTCCGAAGCAGCAAGAAAGGGAAGGTTTAACCTCTTCCCCGGTTACATGGAAAGATATAACAAATCTGCTTCACAGGTACGTTCTAATTTTAGGCCATGGTAAATATCCTGAAGATTATAGTATTCTGGTAATAATGATTTTTTTTAATCCGAAAATGGTAATAAAATAGTACAACAGCTTGATTTCGAACCAAGAAGAACTCCTATATCAGTCATTTATTTGATTAGATTTTTGGTATTGTGTAAGAAAATGCTTGTTTTGGATGGTAATATGCGTTGCAAATTTTTAACATGCTCAGTAATCAGCAAGAGATTAGTTCTGCGGACTTATTGGCCGTGAGAAATTGTGTAGTAAATATGTCATAACCCGTCAAGCTTTATGTTAGTCAATTACAGAGGGTGTAATTTTCAAAGTCTAATCAATACAGGAACAGTTTGCTTGTTGGGGACAATGATGGGCTACAATAGATGGGTAGTTTCTACTATACGTGCGGTCATAAGATGGATACTTAATTTTTTTTCCCCTTATGATTTATGCTGCTAATGGCATGGCTGTGAATTGTAGGAAGCAGCAATGAAATATTTGGAGCTGGCCGAGAAGCATGGCCTAACTCCAGTTCAGCTTGCACTTGGGTTTGTAAGAGATCGCGTATTTGTGACTAGTTCGATTATTGGTGCAACCTCCGTTGATCAGCTCAAAGAAGACATTGATGCTTTCACAGAAACTGAGCGCCCTCTTCCACCGGAGGTCATGGCTGATATTGAAAATGTTTTCAGGAGATACAGAGATCCTACCACTAACCTTTAAATTTAACTGCTTCCAAGATTTTTTTTTTTTTGGTTTCCTTGTACGGTTTTCCCGTTGGATTTACTCTCTAAAATTGTTTGTGCCTCAACCTGATAGAAATGCTCTGTCCAAAAAAAAAAAAAACCTGATAGAAATGCATAAATCGAGGCTTCCAAACAAATACCGTTCTGTTTTTATTGATTTTTTTTTTATAAACATAGATAAATTTTTTTATTGGAAGTCAACATGAGATTTAAACTTCAATACGTCATGAGAGTGGAAATTATTATAATTGAGCCCAAATGTATAAATAGAACAGATACTAGAAGAAAAAGAAAATTATTAATATAAAACTCTTTAATTTAATCCAATCATTTTTAAGGAAAAAGTTATTAAATTTAATGTAAATCAAGAAGAATATTGAAATTAATATTTTTTTTCCCGAGTGAAATTACTATTCTTCTTCAATTCAAAACTAGAAAAGAACCAAACAACGAAGCTAATCGCGAATGTGGTTTAGGGTAATTTCCACAAAGCTCGTAAAGCTGATCAAACTTACGCAGCTCTCATTGCCACGTGGCAGTGACGTTTAGTTAGTTGGGGGACGTGAATGCGGTGTAAGAAGCGCGCCAATATCTGAGTCCCCCGTCTTTTGAGCTGCAAGCTTCCCTCTCATTTCGCCTGCTCTCTCCGATGGATCTGCAACTTTCCGCATAGCTTCCTTCTGCTTAATCCAATTTTGCTCAGAAAACCCAGATATTCATGCTAATCATTTTTAAAATCTCATTCTTCCAAATTTAGTTTTTACATCCAATTCTTCAGCAGGTGAATCCAGACTTTGTTCTTCTCGGAGGGTTGCAATTTCAGATTCAGGTACTTCATTTTTCAATTTGATGGAGGCCGAAAGAGAAAAGCGTAAACATCTATGAAGTCTGTCGCGCGAAAGTCGCTACCGCACCACCTGATGCAGTTGTTGACACTTGAGCTTTGTCTTTGGCGGTTTCATTGCGAATTTTGCAGATGGAATGGCAGATCTTGCTAGCAATGTAAATATTGAACAAGTACGTTTCCCTGGATTTTCTTCTTCATTTTCACCTAACTTGATTCTCCATAATTTATCTGTTGGGCAAACGATTGTATATATCTATATACATATACATATATATATATATATATATATATATGATCATGGGATTTTCAAGTTTGCTGAGAAAATACTGAGCTTAGTTAATGCTATTAGCTTTATAAAGTTTTGGTGGATACATATTTTTGTGCCATCGTTCACCATGTACAGATAAATGTCACCTGTATACGGCCACCCAGGCTTATGGCTGTCACTCGCCTTCCTGTAGAATTTTGGAAGCATCAATACGAACATAAAATATAAAAGTTGCAGCAAACTAAGCTATTTATAAATTATAAATAAACAATATGGTTCATTTTTCAAATTATATAGCCCCCCTCTAGCTCAATACTATATTATACGGGAAAGTTTCTCTAGCCGAATAAGTGAATACTTGAATCAGAATTTAAAGGAGGGCTGTAAAAGGGAAACTGGTGTTCCTAGTCTTGTGCATAGATAATATGACATGGAAATTGGAATATTTTACTCGACTTGGCATCAATAGCTGATTTCTAGCAGGGGCAGGATCAATATCTGCTTTAAATGATCGAAGGGGCTTGACATTGTTCGTGTAACTTGTCCTTTCTTGTTGAACTTGTTTTCATTTTTCCAATAATTATTTGTTGTGATTATTTGGTTATATTTTAAGGAAGATTACGTTGGTTATATTCTTTATCTACTAATATTTGATTTCTGTTTCAATCCTTTTTAAGGCACTTCTTGCTTTGAAAAAAGGCACTCAGTTAATTAAGTATAGTCGGAAAGGAAAGCCAAAACTGTGTCCATTCAGACTCTCACCGGTGAGTTTTGACTGCAAGTTTAAATTCAGATATATATGTTATAAAATATCTTCATATGAGTGATTTTAAAATTTAGTGACACTAACAGGATGAAACAACATTGATTTGGATAAGTCACAGAGGGGAAAGAAATCTGAATTTGTCTTGTGTTTCACATATTATCTGTGGACAGAGAACGGTAAGTTAAATATTAGGTCCGAGTTCATGTCAATTTATGGTTCTCTTACCACTCAAAAATATGTTTTCCAAAGAAAAATGTTTCTATTTGCAGGCTGTCTTTAGAAGATATTTGTGTCCCGAAAAGGATTCTCTATCATTTTCTCTTCTTTACAAAAACAGTGAACGGTCGCTTAATCTGGTCAGAAAAGTTGGCAACTCTAACTATAGTTTTACTTGGTCAATTCAATAGTAATTTTGAATCCAATGCTTTTCCTTTTTATGTTTATAGATTTGCAAGGACAAAGCTGAAGCAGATGTATGGTTTACAGGCCTCAAGGCATTAATATCTCCAGGACAACGTCACAAGCATAGGCATACCAGAAGTGACTTTTCTAGTGTGAGTTTTAACGTAAATCCTTTGAATGATAATTTTTATCCAAAGGGCCAATCATTCATTGCCTTTGCAATGGAAGACAAACTTCCCGCTATTAGCAAATATGAGGAATATGAATACTCCGCACTTTTACGGAGTTACTACTTCCTGCCACAATTGCTGCACCAACTTCAATTTTGGCTTTAATTTTTTGTTTATTTTATTTTCCTCATTTTCTTGACCATATATACAACTTTCATATGTCTACTTTTGAAAAATTTTGCAAATGGCATGGAATATATTGTAAAGTATACTCTAAAACTTTGATCCGGAGTCTTAACCGCCGTCTTTTGTCATTTATGAAAACATGGTCTAGAACTTTGGATTTTTATGAAATTTATATGACTAATCTAGCAATTATTCAACTACATAAAATGTAAACCTCCATCGTCTAGTAATCTTATCTTGTGTCTTGAGATCTTGTATAAGAGGTTGCTGTTTCTATGAATTCAAGAAATTGTAAGTCATAGATGTTTTTTTCATGCAGTGACCATTCTTTGCAGGTTTATATTTTGCAACATTTCACTGAGGTACTTCTTTTCTTTTCTCTTTCGTTTTTTCAATTTCAGGTGCAAGGGAGCATCGACTTTACTCATGATGGTCATCCTTTTAGCGCAACGGTAGAGTACCCTTCGAGCAGCCTTCATGGTCGAATTTCCATTGATTCAGGTTCTCACGACACTTTATTGAATTGGGCAAGCTCGGATGTGGGGTTAGAACGTGCAAATATGCAATTGAGGGTAGGAGCCGGAGACAATTTCCGTCTTAGTGTGTCAAGTGCAGGATCTGGAATTGATGACATAGAATCGCTTGGAGACGTTTACATATGGGGAGAGGTTTGGGCAGATGGGGTTTCATCTGATGGACTGGGGAATCAAGTCCTTGTAAAGACAGATGTCTTGATTCCCAAGTCATTAGAGTCAAATGTTGTTCTTGATGCTCAACAGATTGCATCTGGTGTTCGCCATACTGCTCTAGTTACAAGGCAAGGAGAGCTTTTTACTTGGGGAGAAGAATGTGGGGGAAGACTTGGTCATGGGATTGATAAAGACTTTAGCCGCCCTCGGCTAGTTGAATTCTTGGCAGTCACTAACATTGAATTTGTTGCATGTGGAGAGTATCATACATGTGCTGTATCTACATCCGGTGATTTATTCTCTTGGGGTGATGGTAATCACCATGCTGGAATTCTTGGTCATGGAACTGACATTAGCCACTGGATACCAAAGAGAATCATAGGCCCTTTGGAAGGACTTCAAGTTTTATCTGTTGCATGCGGCACATGGCATTCAGCATTGGCAACCTCCAATGGGAAGTTGTTCACCTTTGGTGATGGAGCATTTGGTGTCTTGGGCCATGGAGATATAGAGAATGTTCCATATCCAAAGGAGGTGCAATCATTGATCGGACTAAAAACCGTGAAGGTTGCATGTGGAGTGTGGCACACCGCAGCTATTGTAGAGGTTATGGGCCAAACTGGTTCAAATGTCTCATCTAGGAAACTCTTTACCTGGGGTGATGGTGACAAATATCGTTTGGGTCACGGTAACAAGGAAACTTACCTCCAACCCACCTGTGTCTCTGCACTTATTGAATACAATTTCCAACAGGTAGCATGTGGGCACACTTTGACAGTCGCCCTCGCTACAACAGGTCAAATCTTCACTATGGGTGCGACTGCATATGGTCAACTAGGGAATCCTCTCTCTGATGGAAAAGTGCCTGTCATGGTACAAGATAAGTTGGTTGGTGAATTTGTTGAGGAAATAGCATGTGGAGAACATCATGCTGCTGCCTTGACATCAAGAAGTGAACTATATACTTGGGGGAAAGGTGCCAATGGAAGATTGGGACATGGAGACATACAAGATCGGAAATCTCCAACATTGGTTGAAGGCTTGAAAGACAGACATGTAAAAAGTATCTCATGCGGCTCAAACTTCATGTCTTGTGTTTGCATCCATAAATGGGTCTCTGGAGTTGACCAATCTGTTTGCTCTGGTTGCCGGCAAGCATTTGGTTTTACTAGAAAAAGGCACAATTGTTATCACTGTGGATTGGTGCATTGTCATTCTTGTAGCTCTAAGAAGGCATTGAAAGCAGCATTAGCTCCAACACCCGGAAAACCACATCGTGTCTGTGATGCATGTTATGCAAAACTTAAAACTGCTGAGACTGGCCATGCTTCCACTTTAAGCAGAGGAACTACCCCTCCCCGTAGGTCAATAGATAATAGAGAAAAAATAGAATGGGTAGAGGCAAAGTCTTCAAGAGTTCTCTTATCTCCCATCACAGAACCTGTCAAATACCTTGAGATAAGGACTAATAAGCTAGGAATTAGATCTGATTCCTCTTCCATAGTTCGAGCTTCTCAAGTTCCATCACGTTTGCAGTTAAAAGATATTGCATTTCCAAGTTCACTGAGTACCATTCAGAATGCTTTCAAGCCTGCTGTGATACCTCCTAGTCCACCAAGAACCCCACCTGCCAACTCTAGATCTTCATCACCATATGCAAGAAGACCCAGCTCGCCACATTCATCGGCTCCTGGATTTTCTAAAAGTATTATAGATAGTTTGAGGAAGACTAATGAGATTCTGAATCAAGAAGCATCGAAATTGCACAAACAAGTAATTTTCTTACTGACATAACTCCAGTGATCATTCGGTTTATTCTGTGAGGATTAGGAATACATATCTGCATTTATAAGTTTATGAATATTCCTTTACCTAAATACAGATTCGAAGTTTGAAGCAGAAGAACGAAACACAGGATACGGAGATACAGAAGCTTCAGAAAAATGTTGAGGAAGCCACCTCATTGGCTGGGGAGAAATCTTCAAAGCATCAAGTAGCAAATGAATTTATTAAGTCCATAAAAGATCAGGTATCTGTATTTTATATATTTGTGAGTGTTTGTGTGTGTGTGAGAGTGAGAGAGAGAGAGAGAGAGATGAACTATTTTACTGGTTCAATTAAAATTTTCTTCTTCTTTAAGGCAACAATGGAAGTGTGATGTGTCTTAAAGAAATGGATGAAAAGAAAATTTCTTCTTGACTAATCTACACACATGCTCCTCTTTTGCAATCTTCCTGTGAAATATTTTTGGTACCAAGTTTTCAAATGAGTAATGATTTAGAAAGAAAGCTGATAGGCAAAAAGAGAACAAAAGTAGAATGAATAGGAGAATAGTGAAAAACCTAGAATTCTAATATGAACTTCGCTTACAATCATAATCGTTTCCCTTTATCTACTACACATAGTTAGTAAAAACCCTAACTCCTTTAGCAGCTATTCTGTTACTAACAAAATTAAGTACTTAACTACTTCTCTCTACGCAAAATTTACAACTAAAAAAGGCAAACTATAGTCGTTCTTTCAATTTGCTAACTTTAACTATTTAATTAGGTAGACTGAACAATTAATATCCAACAAATTATGTGAAGCCTGAGAAAAGCTTTTAATCAGCATTTCTAGCTCGTCATCCTAAGTAGCTATAATTGATGTTGCTTTTGTTTGGAGTCAGTTGAAGGAAATGACTGACAAGCTGCCACCAGAGGTTTCTGACTGTCAAAGCTTGAAAATCATGCAAGACCAAGCAGAAGATTTTCTAAGGAAAACTGCAGAATCTGAAACTTTTTCCTCTTTACCATCAAGCTTAGAGTCTGATCGACTAAATGCAACTACTGATACAACTGCTTCGGATGGCGACTTTGCTAAACCACAAGAACAGAAACTGGAGGACAATGAAGATGCTGCAGGAACCAATTCATGTCAAGATGGTGGAAAAGTTCAAGAAAGCAATGGATCGTCTATTTCTACTGGAGGAGCAGCAGTACTTCCACAAAGCTCAGAACATGGTTCTGGCTCACTGAACTATTCCAGACCAAGGAAAGAAGGAGAGACAGAAACCATTGAACAATTTGCACCTGGTGTGTACGTGACACTCATAGTGCGGCCCGGTGGTAATAAAATTTTTAAACGAGTTAGATTCAGGTACCAATGTTACTTCTTGTCCGAAAAGTTACATCATATTTCTCGTTTCTGTGTTCCCTTTGTGTCTGTACCCGGAGCCTTTTTTCAGAATAACATATTAATTGACTTCTTGTATTGGTTGCATCTGGATCTTAATGTTGTTATGTGTATAAGTCAATGATTGTATGCAAAAGAACAAGTGATTATTGAATACTTTTTTTGCTTCTTCTATGGTCGTAATTTGCAGGCAAGCAATTTAACCATTGATTTCCATTAAAAGTTATAGAGGATCAAGTGCGAACGTTTAAACACTGGTTCTCTTACATTTGCATGCGTTATTCAGGACTTGAGATAAGTTGCATAATTCATAACTCATAAATAATACAGCTTTTTGTATATATCATATCATATATTTATTGATCTATTAGGACATCATGAAGAAGTTTGATCCTACACTTTCCCACTTTGATAAGTAGTGGCTAACTCGACAGCAGAACCCACTGAGTCATTTTTACATACTCCAACCATCTGAATGAATTTCTGACTTCAACCTTCCAATATGTCTAATTCTCTAATATTTTTATCTTTATTTTCCGGTCGCAGTAAGCGAAGGTTCGATGAACAACAGGCAGAAGAATGGTGGAGCAAAAACAAAGAGAAGGTGCTTAGGAAATATAGTCCATCAGCAACAAATTTTGCAGCTACAGGACCACCTAGCACTCGCCCTCCTCCGCCGCCGCCGCCTGTTGAAGAGAACGTTCAGTCTTCACCTTCCTAAACTTAGCATCCTATATTCCTATTCTGTTCACCTAGGCATCAGGTTAGTTTGATGGAATGGTAAATAATCCACCAGGTGTAAAGAAGTAGGCACATTAGTTCCACCTCTTCTTTTTTTTTGGGGGGGGGGGGTCAATATTAGTTCCAATTATTTTGCGGCAGAAAATTTTGTTCAAGAGCATTCAACAACGAAACATAACTACAACTCTACTGTCTGATTTTGGCAAACGACTATAGAAATAGGATGATCACTTTTGATTTTCAAATAACATGCTCCTCCTCTTTGGCCAAATTTTTTTTTTTAAAAAAAAACAATTCGTCTTGCCTTCTTAATTCACTGACAACTCTTCTATCACGTCTTTTCTTCTTTTGCGAGATCCAATGATCACTGGGTTTATTGTACGGAAGGTAAAACCTCATGGTAAATCTATATGGTGCAATATTCCGTTCATTTCCAGCTCCTGTAACTTTTTTTTATCATGACTTCAACTTGAATTTAAGAAACCTTCGCAAGAATTAAATTGAGGCTGCAAAATGGCGAGCATTAGTCCATCCTAAAATACAGACTAGCAATGTACTTCTCCGATTTTAAATATAAGACTCTTATGATATAAGAGTTTTATATTTAAAACTGAAAGAGTACATTGTTAAAATAGATTTTCTAGAATCATATATCAGTCAACACACACACGGACAACAATTTTCATTTATAAATCAATAATATAGCTCATTTATCATTTTATGAATAATGCAATGCATAAGGCGTCCAATTAGTTAAATAATAAGTGTGTTCCTTTATGTTAGTATATAGTCCATGCATTTAACATTTTATTTTATGAGTTATTAATAAAAAGCGGGACAGAGCCATTTTTAGATAATTATTATTTTCCTCTTGACCTCAATTTGATGTCTTGTTCGTGTCATGCACGATATGCAATGAATAATAATGCTAAATGACATAGGGGTATACGTGGGAAAAAACATGGGGCAAACAAGAAAGAAGAGGCTACAAGTTTATGCAGACAAGAGGCGAAGAGTGAAGAAGGAAAAAACATGACATTTACTTTTTTAATTATTATTCAATCTCTCAATTTTAAATTTTAAATTAAAACAATATAGTGCTTCTGGTAAAGTTTTAATTTTAAAAAAAATAACATACTGCTTGTTTGGAATGGCAGTATGATTATTTAAAAGTAATTTTTCAATAATAATTTATGAATTTTTATTTTTATCTTTTAATGAAATTGAAAAATTAATAATTATATTTTTCTAAAAATGATAATGATATAGCTATACAAAATATAGAATTAAATATTATAATTATAAAGCTATAGCTCCACTTATCAAAATTTAAAAACCAATTACACCCAGAAAAAAGTGAATATAATATTAATCCTTATTGTTTATGTATGTTTATTATGTTATTTGATAAACTAAATAATTAGAAATATATTATTAATTGTGTAATTCGTTAAAATTTTAGGTATTTTTAGAGTGGAAAATGAGTTGATGATTGAAATCATTATAGTGGGCACAAAGATCTCTGGGGATTTGCACTTGCTGAGGGGGACCCACTTGATGATGGCAACTGAGCCCTCATGAGTGAGAATCCATCTCACCCTTTGAAGTTTGAAGCAAAGTTGGCCCAATCTAAGAGACAGCTAAGGGCAACGAGGTCATTTCATGAAGGTGTTGTCAATCAATCCAAAAGGCAAATGAAACAAAATCATGTTATATGCCCTTTTTATTTTATTTTCTTTTATTTTTTCCCAACCTATCATCTTTATATCCTGTCTGCATCAATCATCCTTCACTGTCAGCCTATTTCCAATTTCCGCAATAAAAACCCTAAAAAGGCCCAAACCCACCTTGCTTCCCACTCAATTCATCAATTATACCCCCCCTCACTTTTTCCCCCTGGATCTCCCATCTTACTCGTATTTGTGAATGTCATAGGAACTTCGTTGCTTCCATTTTTATTGAACATGGCAAACAAAGTAGTAGTAATAATAATAATAATAATAAGCAATATGCCAATATTGATTATCATCTTTCATGATATCAATCTATAAATCATAATATATCATACTTATATGTAAAGTTTATTACTACTATAGTGCAGTAGAGCTCGTTAATCATTAAGCTTATTATGCTGCAGCACTGATTCAATAGAGTACCAATGCTGATATAACTTGATAGTATGAAAATTCCTTTATAAATAATAGATCGCAAGTTCAATGCCACTCGTAAACATTTACCAGTGAACAAGCTAACTTAAAGGTGTTTGGATGGAAACCAAACCATAGTTTCAAAAGTGTTTTTACAGTTTACGAAATAAATATGTGGAGGAGTTTGTCTCGTTCTGTAAGAGAAGTACTTTTCAATGTTGCCAAATACCTTTTTATCTGTGAATGTTTGTTTTTGTACTGATCTCACTAATTAAAAAAAAAAACAGTGTCAGTGATAAATACGTGAAAAAACTATATTTTCAGGTGATGGAAGAAACATGACTCAATCGTTGGATTCTCAACTTTCAAAAACAAAATAGATGGTGGGTTGGTGTGTATTATATAAAATCCAAAAAATAATTACAATATTTATAATTTCTATGCTCATTTATAAAGGTGAGAGGCATGCTTGGTATTTAGATATTTTGATTTATATGTTTATTCACTACTCATAAAATCCCCAAACACTAATAACCCAAAGTCTGCAACAAACTGAATGATAATAATATGGTTATATCAAAGACCGAGAGATATGTTTCTTCTACCATGAATAATTTTAATGCAAGGAAATCACTTGCGTTACGGAGTCATCGTAATTATGAGTCTAATTATGGATAAAATGGTAGGTCTTGAATTATTCGATTTCAGGCATATAAGTGATATAGAAACAACCTACAAGACCTCCCCCTAAAAGGATTGGTAGGGTTACCAAAACCACTCACCATATCACAACCTTTCAAGTAATCTAGGATTTATCAAAAGCCAAACCACTTGAAGCAAACCCCTGAGAGGAAAGAAATACAGTGTTCCTCTCTATACTGTTCTTTTACCCTCCCTCTTAACTATAACTTCGTCCCCACCATTAGTCCACCTTCTTCACATCTCTCTCTCTCTCTCTCTCTCTCATGAATTAAGCAGAGTTGAATCACTGTGCTGAAAGCCTGAAATCAGATCAAAGTCATTTTCCTGGCTTTCATCTTCGAAAACCAACCGAGCTAGCTAGCTAGCTCAGCTTTTCTCTTCCCACATCCTCTCATTTCGCTGATAAATTAAAAGTAAGTTAGTATACCAAAACACAAATCATCATGAACCCTCTTCAAGAATTTGACTTCCCATCATCGAACGCTACCTCAAATCTGACATCTTCATCCTCGTCGTCACCCCCATCATCCACCACTCTTAGCCGCTACGAGAACCAGAAGCGCCGCGACTGGAACACCTTTGGCCAGTACCTCCGGAACCACCGACCGCCGTTATCGCTGTCCCGATGCAGTGGTGCTCATGTCCTAGAATTCCTCCGATACCTAGACCAGTTCGGGAAAACTAAGGTTCACAACCAGCTCTGTCCCTTCTTTGGCCATCCAAACCCTCCTGCTCCCTGCCCTTGCCCCCTTCGTCAAGCATGGGGCAGCCTTGATGCCCTCGTCGGCCGCCTCCGCGCAGCCTTCGAAGAGAACGGCGGTAAGCCGGAGACGAACCCATTTGGTGCTCGAGCCGTGAGGCTGTATCTTCGTGAGGTGCGTGATTCTCAAGCCAAAGCTAGAGGAATCAGCTACCAGAAGAAGAAACGGAAGCGTCCTCAAGAACCTCCACCAGCATTGCCACCATCGTCATCAGCAAGTAATCAGTAAGCAATATTTATCACAAATTCTAAATAATTTAGTCCTTCACAATTCACAAGCCTTTTTACTCGTTTATGCCCTACGAATTAAAAGCGCCGTCGCGATACGATCCTGATGTTTGTACAATACGCCAGGTAGGGCTTCAAAACATTGTGTCACGTTGTACTGTGATATTTGTGTATCATATGTTGTATCCTATGCATATGTCTGTGTGTTTATTAATTATGTGGCTCTGCTCATTAGGTTGCTTCTCAGGTTATTGTGGCAAATGGCTATATATAAGCTAGTACTTTTGCTTGCATCATTGCTTACCCTTTATTATTAGTTTACTTTAAGCGTTTCTTTACTTTTAATTCATATTAGTAATTAGTGGGTGCGTGTGTGTGTGATTGCTTGTGCAATAGTTGTGGATGCGCTTTGTAGCTTCCTAAGATTCCTCGTCACCTATACTATTAAATCACTTATAGTTGCCTAGTTCATTTGTGCACTGATGAAGCGAAGCTACGGCAAAGATATATAACGAATTATGCAATGAAAGGAAATAATTCAAGAAAATTTGCAGTGCGTACTGGTAGATGAGTGATCTATTTAAGAGGACTGTGTAATAACCTACTGCTATCTCGCATCCAATTTCTAAATGGGGCAAGACCTTAGAACTTCACATGTTAATAACCAGCTGGTTCTTCCATAGAAACATAAATACAAGTGAACTTTTATTAACCAAAAAAAAAAAAACCCAAATACATCATATGAAGTTATTGAAAAATATACATTTGAAAAATTAATACAAAACATTTAAACGTTTCAGCATTAATCTATCTCTATATTTTGTTATCATGACGACTTGGTGATCATCATGTACGATACACATCTGTATTGAACTACGGTATAATATCGAGGAGCTCCTTCCTTCTGTTATGTGAGAGGGACAATAATTCTGTAATCTCTGTGTTGATGATTCTCTTGATTCCCCCTTTGAGAGGCGCTTGATTTTTCATGCATCGAATGCAGTAGAAGGTCTCTGTGCATGCTTTGTATTGTTCATTCTTCCGAACAGATAAAACAACAGCTCAAATGAAACATAAAACAGTAATAATAACCAGCTTCATGAACATTCATTTTTTTTTCCCAAAAGAAAAGAGAGAGAATGGAAGTGACGACTCTGGTGAGTGTAAAATTTACAGAAAGGAGAAAAGAAAGACTAGACAATGCAGTTCAATGAGTGATGTGATTGTGGTCAGGCTCTTGAAGTTTGTGTTGCCAACACACACACACATATAAATACACACACGTATATACACAGACATAGAGACTTTCTGTCTGGGGGATTCTGATTATCTACTTCAGTGGAAGTCAACAGAGGCTGCACGCAAGCACCTTATTAATAATCCCATTATTCCCATAAATGGTGCTTCCTTTCATCCCATGCTTATTAGAAGGAAGAGGATCTCACCCCCGGCCAAGGTCTCTGATACTCTTTGTAGTATCATGCGTCTTCAATTTTTTTTCCTCATTTTCTCATCATCATTATCTTCCGTGTAAAATGAAAAATGTTATATATATATATATATGATATCTTATAAAATATAAAGTTATATCGTCTTATCATTATAAGATATCATATGTCTTCTGTTTTATTTAGAAGATAATGATAGGGGAAGCAATTAGAAATGTGAGGCGTGACAAGGTCCTAGAGGATTTGCCATTAGAGGTCTCGGGCCCTAAATCCGGACGCGGATTGGTGCTTTCTAAAGTACAGAAAGTTGCCTTACATAATTTGAAATAACTATATAATTATTGTACTTCTCCCTTGAGCCAGATAATAGATGCATTTGTGCTGGTCAAAAAGATAATAGATGCATTTGCTTTTATTCTATAAGACTTTAATTCAGTTTATTTTCATTAGTAAAGCAAATTTATTATCTTCTAAATTTTGAATTTTTTTAACTTTTTTTTACTGATTACATATATTAAAGAAATTTTTCATCAAGAGAACAGCTTATAATGGAAGTGAATGATTATAAAGGTTACTTTTTTTTTTAAAAAAAAGAAAATTGTTATGAAATTTCAAGTAAGAAATATAATTACTACAAAGTTTCAATAACTATAATAATAAATGATAATTGCAATAACAAATTTCAGGGAAACAAGTGATAACTGCTCACTTATTATTGAAACTTGTTGGTAATTTTTTTTTCTTGATATACCTCACTGTAATTCTCCACTTAAAAAAAACAACCCAAATATTTTATAATCAATAACTAATCTACTTTATTAATTTTGACAACACTCCCTCCGTTTCTCTGTACAGAGTGTTTTCAGGTGTTTTGCACGTATCAACAAAATTTAGTCACAAGTATGCAAATGTTTTATTTTTGCCCTTATTTATTAGACTCCTTTCCAATCATAAATCAAATAATTATTGTTTTCACTGTATAATTATTTTTCTGACAGCTTTTAAAGAGCTAATGGATGAAACGGTCCAACCGTTAGAAACTATGACAAACCCCTTGTTTTTGGGTAAAAACTATGACAAAACTCCTAGTAGCGAGCCTTTTTGGTTGTTCGTTTTTGAAGCCCAAAAATAGCTCATTGTTTTCATAAGCATGTTTAAGAAGTTTGGATCTACCAATGGAAGTTAGGTTTAATAGAAAGGATTACTTTCTCACAACGTGACAAGGTAAAATTTGAATCTTTATTGAAAGAGGTGTCTGGCCAAGTTTTAGAGCAAGAACGACTAGGGAAATCCGAGGCTGAGAGAGCTCGGTGCAGCAACGTCACAGGTGGCTGAGACTTGACGGAGAAGAGGGAATCGGCGCCAGAGGTGACAGCGGAGACAAAAAGGCGATAGAATTCTGTTGGACTAAATTCCATTGGAGAGCATTAATTGCACTCTTACTAGTGAGTTCTTCCAACAAGCACAGGTCATTAGAAAACGAAGCCCCGAAGGGCTTTGTTTGAATTCTTGATTTAAAAACAACTTTTTGGTTTTTAAACACAAGAAGATGAATCCTTGTTTTTGTTTTTATATTTTATATTTTAAGAAATTGAAAAGATCTTCTTTTCTTCTCGCCTATCATATATAACAACGGTGACACTTGTTAAATGTGATTTTTTATATTTTTTTATTTTAGATGCAATTGTTTAAAATGATTATCTAATCATTTTTTCATTCTCAAAACTTGTTTTAAAAAATAATTTTATAAAATTATTTAAAAAAATAGAAACAAACCCTTAATTATTTGAGTTGGGGAATTCAAAGCCTTGTAAAACCTCTCAAAACCCTCTGGACATCAGGACTAATGACCTTCGTGTCCTGTAGCTAGGAAGGGGTACGTTTGGTTGTTCCCTAGCTATACGTATGTTTCTCATCCAAATTAAATGCATCCTCTGGCTCCAAGCACGACAAGCCAACCCATCCTCTTGTAAGAGCCGCAGAACCAAAGACTCTTTGTTTTTTTTTCCTCCAATCTAAAATTGCAAACAAAGTCAAACTCCTTAGAGGAAGGTACTCTATTTTCTTGAAACGAGCAGTACGGGCTCAAAACTATAACTCGCAGGTTGCAACAACATCGTAGAATCGCAGAAGTCAATTGATGAGTCGCTCGATTTGTGGATTGAGAGAGCTTCTTCGTGGATTTAGGTTCCAGGTTGGAGGAGGACTCTGGGCACTAATAAAAGGAGGGAATATAGAGGCCAAAAAAAAATAAAAGAAAAAATTAAAGCCACCGTGTCCATTATGTACAAACCAAAGCCATCGTGATTCTTCACAAGATTTCTACAGCTGATTGAGAGGAGGTTCGAATATTGACGAGCTAATCGCACAAACTAACTGTACCATTTAAGAAATAGCATTTCTGAAGACATGATCATATGTAACCTGCCAATCACTTGTAAGTTTTCTGTTGTCTTTAGTAATAAGATTTGAGAGGTGTTTGGATTGAAATCAAATCATAGTTTTAAAAGTATTTTTACAGTATACAAGGTAAATATATGGAGTAGTTTGTCTCGTTATACTGGAAAGTATCTCTAAGAAGCATTTTTGGGTGCTTCCAAACACACATTTGATCTAATATAGCATCCTTTATCATGTGGAGAGCCAAAAATGACACCCAAGGCCTCTATATAATCAAGCAAAAAGAATTCTGTAGTATATACATTTTTTCTCGGTTTCTGATTTTAATACCCATAAGTTTTTACCTGTTAATTAAATTATTTAATTTTTTTCTATTAATATCGTTAATTCCTATAACTTTGTTCTATTGTTATTGTCAAGCAAGGTCAGACATTTAACTAATAAGAAACATATAGATGCCGAATTAAAATTTAAAAAATATAAATAAATAGTCTTTCCTCTGATCGGCAAGCATTCTAATTTTCTCGTGTCTCGGAGTCGCCCAGCAAAGGTTTAGCGCCTTCGAAAATTTCCATGAATTCGGTCATCGGGAAATTTTTTGCACGTCTCATCGGGAAGCCATGTAAACAAATCAATGACAGTATAACAAGTAATGAATTAAAGCCTTTTCAAAAAACTGAAACTCAATCAAACCTTCCTTCCATAATTAATAGTCATACAATATTTATTTAGTTCATTCGCTCATGCTGGAGCGATGACTAAATTATAGAATTTCCATAGCCAGGCAAAAAGAATTGTCTTAAATATATAAATGCTGTTATTAATATAAGAGCTAGTTGATTTATTTAAATAGATAAAAAAAAGTTTCTTAGATTACTTATTTATAATAAATATGCGTTGTCTTTCATGACTCATCCTTGCTAATTATGTGTATTAGTTATAACTACTTTTAATTAAATATTTAACATGTGCAACTAGTATATAAAAACTATTTTTAAAAAATGAATAAATAGTAGTAAAAAAAAAGTGAAATTGAGTCTTATATTTAGAATCAAATTAAATATCAAACTAATTCTTATATTAATGAGGTGAGATAGTAATTATAGAAAGATAAACCTCTTAGAACATAATCGAAGTTTGAGTGAAATTCCATAAACAGACGTGTCTTCAGTATTCTAGCCATTTCTGAAAAAAAATAATATTCCCGGCACCGATTGCCGCTTTCATGAAATTTAGGTCGGAGATTCGGCTCATTTATACTCTTCCCGTACAAATGAGATCAAGAAAAAAAATTATTTATCTTATCGTATTAGAAAAGTGAGCAAGAGAAGAGGAAAACAGAAACAAGCACAATCCAAACATTTTTTAAGCAAATACTCCTTTGGTTCTATATAGAACAGAGAAAGAAGATTTTTTTTGTCTTATTTATAAGTCACTTATTAAATTTTTACTATAAATGTATCATATTGTTTTCATTTATTATAGTGTAGATAGTTATTTTTATTGAAAGAAATATTTATTAAATAGAGGTAAAATTAAAAAGTTACTATATTTTAATAAAAAGTTAATATAATTTAAAATTTTTCTTGTGTAAAATATATTAAAAGTGTCGTGTACATGAGATTGAAGGAGTATCAATTAAAGTAAAACCCACACGATCGGGCCCCGATATAAACCATGATACGAGATGTTTCTTGTTCACATAATAAAATTGGTTTCCGATATCTTTATAAAAATACCTATATATTAATAACGAATAATGTTACTTAATTAGATCAAGAAATTTACTTTTTAGAGAGTTAAAATAATCCTAAATGAAATTCATTAATTAAAGAACGCTGTCTGATTAGTTAAAAAGTTTACAATCAGTTAGGATGTACATTTATAAAAAAAATATACCATATTATATTTTATATTAAAGACTATGAAAATCCTTCTACTAAAGATTTGAGGGAGTATTTTGTAACATTGCTATAAGCATTTTTTGTGTCGGTGCTGAGCAGTGTCTTCGAAATATCCAAAAAGTGGAACTTCAGGTTGCAGATTCCAACTATTTGTATGGGAACATGAAAATTGACCCCCCACGCGTTTTAGACATCGATATTATTTTCAGTATGTGGCCTTATATAATTTAACAATATGAAAACTTTTTTAGAAGTAAAAGATAATAGTTCATTTTATCCGGTACATTAACAATCTACCGTAATTTTTTATTATTTATGTTCAATCTTATTAATGTAGAAAACAAAAAAGAATTTTAAAAAATATGTAATATAGATAAAATAAAAAATTTAAAATATAGTTAATCAGTCATAGTATCTTTCTCAATTCCTATAAAGAATTGAAAATCACCAACGAATGAGACAGGAGGAAGTCATTTTTTTAATCTATGCGCAAAGCCTTAAGCAATTAAGTTAACTACTTAAACAATTGTCAGTTGAAAAAAATTAAAAACCTACTAAAACAATTGAACTAAATCAGCGACAGATCTTAAAAAGACCGGAGGAAATTGAATTGAACCAAAAAGAAAGCACCATTTTTTAATTCCTGGCCTCATTTTGGCGCTAAAGTATAATTTTCCCGTTTTCCTTTTTAAAAAAAAAAATTCAGAATGCCGACAGCCGTACCATGAAATTGCGAAGATAATCACTGTTAGAAATGGAGATCGCCCCAATTGTTGAGTGGCATCCCACTAATCGAAATGGAATCACAATGGTAATGCCAGCTTAATCTATGGTCAATTTGCTTCGCCCTTTGTTGATAAAACGACAATGAACGCGTAGAGACAGAGACCGCCTTAAATTAACGACCTCGACGAGCCTCAGTGTGCCACACAAGCGGGAGTACCTAGTTTTAGTTCCTAGTCCCCTCTTTCTGTGTGTCACTACCCGAAATAGTATATTTTTATAGCACACTCTGTCTCTCAGATCTGATCTTCCTCCTCTGCCTTTATTCCTTCTCATTCTTTGTCACTCACGGCTTTCATAAACTTTTGGATTCTTTTCTGTCATCACATCCGCTTAGATTTCGATCTGAATCCAGTATGCTTTCCTCTCAATCTATGTTTTTATTGCTCTCGCCTTGCTCTTTCTATGTTAGTTTTATGCATTTGTTGCCGGATCTGGATGAGTTCGCATATCGGGTTTGTTGGATTAAATTGTTTTAGTGTTTTTTTGGAAATGTTACAATTGATATTCATTGCACCCTATATTATAGCCTGACCCATCCTTTTTCATCTCTCAATTGGTGAATTATCATTGAGTTTTATTCCGTCTTAAGGCAAATCATGATTTCCATTGCACCAGATCTGACAGCGCCATGTAATTTGTATGACTTGTAATTAACATCAGGCTCATTACTACTGGATATATATCAATTGAGCTGTTTAGAATCGGATGAGTTGTTATGGGTTTTTATCTCGCTATAACTTCTTGCTTCTTTACTTTCTCATGGATTTTTCATCTGTTATTTTCATTGGTTTGGTCTTAATCGCAGTTGCGGATGGCTTTGTGATTTGTTAGCATTATTGTCATCGTTATGTTCTTTAATTATTTTTATTATATTCCCTCATGTGAAATGGAATGTGTAAATTCATGGAGTCTGACTGAAAACCAGGAGTGCAACCTTTTGAGTGGAGTTGTAACATATTGTTCGTAACTGCAATAGCTTTAATTACACTCCCTTTTGGTCACTTTTCTTGGCCAATTACGATGGAAGAAAAGATGAAGTTCTAGTTAGACTGGAACAAGATGCCTTTCTCTCTTTCTTATGTTCCCCTTAAAGCCCTCTATTCTCTAATGATGCTTGCCCTGGTCACTGATTACGCTATCAACGTTTCACTAATAGAGTTTCCCATGCTAGAAAAGCATAGCAATGTCTGCACTCAAAATGGCAATCATTTTTCTTTTAAGATCTGTTATTTATGGAGACCTTTTACGTGGTGATGAATTTCTGAAATTTTCATCCTGACATCTTTTCCCATCCTTTTTTTTTTTTTTTTTGCAGGTCGTTTAATTCTGCTTGTCATATCTGCAAGATCTCGTCTGAATCTGAACTATGATATTCGTTACAAAAATTTTAGGTTGACAGTTTTTGTGGGGAATTCTTATGGTAAATTTGACATTGAATCTATTGTGACACACGATCTTTGCTGTCATCATATACAGCATATACGGCAAAAAGTGTAATTCGGATTTGTATTACACTTAAAATAAATGTCGAGGGGGAGATCTGATGGATCGCAAAAGAAGCATTTAGTTGCTTCAATTTGTGCTGTGACAATCTTTCTTGGCTTCCTATATGTGTATTATGGATCCAAAAGTTCCGGAACATCTGCTCTTGAATATGGAAGCAAATCATTGAAACGACTTGGGTCATCATATTTAAGTGGAGATGATGATGCCGTCACCAAGCAAGATGATTCTTCATCAAGTTTTGGGCAGGGAGATTCGGAGGTTGATGTTGTGCCAAAGAGTTTCCCCGTAAGTTCCTGTGTCATGTTTAGAAACCATATTTTCCCCCAAAGTATTCTTATTTTCATTATAATCTTTCACATTTGATCTTTAACAAAAAAAGTGAATTATAGCACCTAGTAAAGAAAAGAATTCATGATTTGTTTTTCATTCCAATGCTTCTGGTTTTGAAGGTTTGTGATGATCGTCATTCAGAGTTGATTCCCTGCCTAGACAGAAACCTTATCTATCAAATGAGATTGAAGTTGGACCTCTCTGTGATGGAACACTATGAGAGACATTGTCCTCCTTCAGAAAGGCGGTTTAACTGCTTGATTCCTCCCCCGTCAGGATATAAGGTAAAGCTTATTTCAGAGTTGAAGCAGTGTTCTATATATCCTCTTCAAGAGTTGTTTTATTTTTGTCAGTGTCATATTTATTGCTGTTTTCGTAATGTTGCAGGTCCCTATTAAGTGGCCACAAAGCAGAGATGAGGTGTGGAAAGCAAATATACCTCATACTCATCTTGCACATGAGAAGTCTGACCAAAATTGGATGGTTGTAAAAGGTGAAAAGATAGTATTTCCTGGAGGAGGGACACACTTTCACTATGGAGCTGATAAGTACATTGCAGCTATTGCTAATGTAAGGTTGCATATGGCTTTAATGGCCACATCTGTCAATGTCTTTTTCTCTGTGTTTATGCCTCATACAAGTATATATCTGTGTTTATGTTAACAGGCATATGCCTTATGTCAGACTGCATGATCTTTAGTGGCCTCTTTGACTGTGTTGAATCTGTTCATTTATGCATTCCATAGAGTAGTATCTTACATTGAGTTTGTATTTGTCAGATGCTCAACTTTTCAAACAACATACTTAATAATGATGGAAATTTGCGGACAGTGCTTGATGTTGGCTGTGGTGTTGCAAGCTTTGGAGGATATCTTCTGTCATCCAATATCATTGCAATGTCCTTGGCGCCCAATGATGTGCATCAAAATCAAATTCAATTTGCCTTAGAAAGAGGAATTCCCGCGTATCTTGGTGTCTTGGGAACTAAGAGACTCCCTTACCCTAGCAGATCTTTCGAACTGGCTCATTGTTCTCGATGTAGGATTGATTGGCTTCAAAGAGATGGCATACTACTTCTTGAACTTGACCGGTTGCTTAGGCCAGGAGGTTATTTTGCATACTCATCTCCCGAAGCCTATGCACAGGATGAAGAGGATCTAAGGATATGGAAAGAAATGAGTGACCTTGTGGGACGCATGTGTTGGAGAATAGCTGCAAAAAGGAACCAAACTGTCATCTGGCAGAAGCCTTTGTCAAATGATTGCTATATGGAAAGAGAACCTGGTACTCGCCCTCCACTCTGCCAGTCTGATGATGACCCAGATGCAGTGTGGAATGTGAATATGGAAGCTTGCATTACACCTTACTCTGACCGTGAGTACCTTTTTTTTTGTGTGCTATCTGATGTCTTTTTCAGTTTTTGGCAACTATTTATGTCTTGGTAACTAAAAAGCAACAATCAATAGTTGTTTCTTCAATATTTTGCCATTATTTTTTGTTGGTGATAGTTTTGCTATTATTTTTCACTGTGGCAGAAACGTAGAAAAGGAATTAAGAACAAAAAGGAAGTAGAAAATTATCGAATAATTAGTATATCATAATTATCAAGTGTCATCCCCTGAAGTCACTGCAACCTTATTCTTCTTTTGGCCGAGACTGTGAGCCTATTTATATGCAATCTACAGAAGAATTTCTAATGCATCTAAAATACAATTCCTAGAATTCTAAACAAACTATAATATGGGATAACATATTTCATAGTAGTTTAGTTCTTTTATCTTAGCCTAAAGGAAAAGAAGGAATATGTTTAGTAAAAGTAAACATGCCGCGCATCTTCACTGCTTTAACTCTGCTATTACAATGCTCATTAGATAATCTTCTTGTACTATATATCCTCCATTCATGACCTGATTTGGGTGGTCAATGATGACTTTACCTGAGTCATTATGAAGTGCATCAGGCCTGGATATAAAGCTTCTAAAATCATCATAGATACTTTTAATTCAATATAAAACAATTATTTCTTAGGAGATCTTACGTTGGGTTGTTGACTTGAAAGTGGGCATGGAATCTTTATCTACTGAAACTTCTGTTGGTTTTTACCAGATGATCACAAAGTCCAGGGCAGTGGATTGGCTCCATGGCCTGAAAGACTGACTAGTCCTCCTCCTAGACTGGCCGACTTTGGCTATACAAGTGAAATGTTTCTAAAGGACACGGTAATTTAGAGTTGGATGCTTTTTACTTGTGAGGGATTGGAAGTTATTCTCTTAAGTGACTTAGATAAGATAATAACACTACGTTTAAATTTTGCCATGTAATACAGGAACTATGGCGAAGGAGAGTTGAGAAGTATTGGAATATCCTGAGCCCAAAAATCACATCAAATACAATAAGGAATGTGATGGATATGAAGGCAAACATGGGGTCATTTGCAGCTGCTCTAAAAAGCAAGGACGTCTGGGTGATGAATGTTGTGCCTCCAAATGGACCGAACACACTAAAAGTTATATATGACAGAGGCCTGATAGGCTCTATCCATGACTGGTACGGAAATCAGTTTGCCTGATTATGTATGTTTATTTTTATTTTCATAACACTGTAGCATGCCTTTTAGTCATATATTTTGTTTAAAACCTTGAAGCATCTGATTTTAACGTCAATACCCGATTTATTGCAAGGTAACTTACATTCACTAATCATT